ATACCAGGAAAAACGCATTCTCATGCTCCAACGCCAAAACGAGCAAATCGAAGACCAATTCAAAAACCATTTACTGGCCGCCTTTGCAGCCCGCGCTCAATTCAATGCATCCTCCATCCACAGCCGACGAGCAAGCCATATGACCCCGCGCCCATCAGTCAATGGAGTCAATGGAGTCAATGGTGCTGCTGGTTCACGCAAGATGAGCTTGGATCTTTCCAATCTACGCTCTTCTTTCTCCCAGGGCCCAGGGTCAATGGCAAGCCCAATGACAACGGGTGATGGCTACGTCCTATCGCCCACGGCATCATACGACCCGAATGCCCAGTCCTACCCAGCCTACATGAGCGGTTCGCAGACGCCATACTCCGATATGTTCTCTGCCTCAACAGGAGCCCCGTCTGGACAAATCCCAGCCTACATGAACCAACAACCCTCAGCACCAGCCTGGAACTCCCAAGTACCCACATGGGCCCCGATGCAACAGCACAACATAACCCCTGCGCAAACCCCCACAGACACACACGCCGTGCAAATGTGGCAGCAGCAAATGATGCAGCAGCAAATGATGCCTGACACCGCAAGCCAAATGCATCAGTTCCGAGATCGCCTTGCGTCCGCACCAGAGTTGCCTCTGCAGCATACAGTGGCTCCACCCATTCCCTCAGCATCCATTTCGGGCCCCACTGGCCACGGCCCTACCCATGGTCACTCGCGCGGCCAGTCCCAGCCATCGAACAACTTCCACAACCTCAACCTCCTTACCCAGAGCACACACATTTCTCATCCCCAGATGGCTCCCTCCAGTCTTAGCTCTCCGAAGATCGAGGCCCTCTCAGCCGGCACTCACTCCACACCGGACTTCTGTCCCACTCCTAATACCCCGCTGTCTCCAACGACTGCTACTGCACATGCTACCATGTCGCAGGGTGGGAAGGTCGATGGTGATGGAATTATGGTCTCGCATGAGGGGTTGGATCCTGATTTCACGGATTTCAGTCAGTTTGCTTTCCACTTGGGTAACTCCGCTGTTCCGCTTTCCGATCGTGATCAGCCTTTTGGATTTGACGACCTTCTCGCTGTTGATGATTTCACCAGCGTCTCTTGTTAACTTCCTCTATCTGTCCACCATGCCTATTATGATCTATGATACCTGATATACCTAGGTAGTTCTTGGCTTTTTCTTTGATTTCTTTTTTTGGGGTTGGGTGTACAGGTTGGCTTTGCACATTTGCTTCTGTATCATATCTTATCTATTTCTCATCTAATATCCTGAACAGGAGTCAGGATTGGAGATCTTTGTATGTATCGGATGGAATCTTGCTCTTTTTTTCATTCCTTTCTTTTTAATCATTACTCTGCTTTTCTTCAATGTATGTACAGTGACATGAAGAAAAAAAAATTCAATCCACTAATCCTTTTCACTTTTCCTTTTCAATCTCCGTATTAAAATTCACCTTGGTGGATTTAACGTTGCAGGATCTAACGTTGCATCGATCCGCAAACAACCCTCGCCAAGTCCGTGTCCTAATCCGGCGTCGTCCCCACCATTCCTCTAATAACTGCGCGATTATTGGCATCTCATTTTCTCTTATGGGATAAACCTAGTCCCAGACTCTATGCTCCATCGGGCCGTGCCAGTAGAGCTGTAGTTACCTATAGCTGTAGCTCTAGCTTCCCCAATGCAGTCATACCCCCACCTATACATTACATAGGAATGACTTTCTACCTTTCTCTTCCCTTAACCAGTCCTACTTTTTTTTAGTCTTTAGCTTCGAGCACTAAATCTTAATTATTGTTATTCACACACTTTCTACCTTCAAAATTCCGCATCTAGTAAACCAACTCCACACCCAAGATGCACCCTTGGTAGCAAGTCTCCAGCCCTACGTAAGTAGGTCTATCCCACAACGAAAAACATAGAGAGAATCTGCATGGCTATGAGATATTTCCTAGCCCACCACGTAATTCCTCGCAGAATAAGTACCTAATCTAAATCCAGCGATCAGATCATCCTCAACCGTGGAACCACCCGCTTTAATTTGTCACGTCGTGACCCCCGCGCCATGTCATAGCTCTGGAACCTCCAGTAGATCCCAGGCTAGGCCTTGCGTGATATGTGGAAACAGGTACTTTCTTTTGGTTGCAGGGGAGGGGAACTCTTCCTCTGTTTGGTCTTTTACATTTCCTCGATCTCGTAATCTCGCTCTCGGTCCTGTGTGTTACCTCAGGATCATTTCCGACTTGTGTTGGCCACGCGCTAGGATAGGCTTCCTTGGCTAAATTACAAATTGGAAATTGAGTTGACTTATGTAAATGAAACTTCCACTTCGTGTAGATTTAGATTTTGTGTTGAGGGAAAAGCATGTTGAAATTGAAGTGCCCCGTGCCCTACGGAATGTGTTGTTTTCTGCCCCCCTGTTTAAACCGCTGAGGCGTTCCCGGGATCATGGGTCAAACGGCGATCGTGCAGGATGGACTATCCTTTTTTATTTCTGTTTTATCAAGGGTAGAGCATCGATATCCTATCAGTCTCTAGCAATGCCAATGCTATTATAAGTAGTAGGCAGAATCTTAAGTATAATTTTCACCCAAGAAACTCGAAGCAAAAACCCAGCAACAGCCGAAAATACCCAACTGTAAAGGAAAAACAGAATCGAGTGACCTGCAGAATCCCAGATTGCGGGGTTAAGGTTGCAGCTCACCCAGCCAAGTCCAAATTTTGATTGGCCAATCAAAAAACTAGCGGCCGCACTGACCCATGCAAAGTATAGAATCCATCAGCACCTCTACCACGGTTAGAATTCAAGTCCGAGGGCAGTGTTCCAATGGTTGAGGCCTGGTTATTCTCGGCACACAACACATTTTACAGGATAGAAATCCGTCTTGAATCAGAAACTCTAATTATTGTCGCCTAGTGCTCGCCTAGTGAATAGAGGGGGGATCCCCGTGCAGCTCTAACGGGGCCAGGTCCAGTGTCCACCCATGGGTTCCGTGAATGCTTGCCTGAAAGTAGGTTCACGCTAGGGTTGTATAGTTGGTTCCGGTTGGATTGGACTGCAACGCTGGCCCCGTGCACATTTGTCGGGGAGTAATTGGTGGCGATTTCTCTTTTTTTTCTTTCCTTATCGGGGTTATCGCTGGTTTTGTGGCTTGGAGGTCCAGTGGGTGGCCTGTCAGATTGACAGATTGGGATGTGGGTGACTTCCAAGGTTCCAAGGTTGATGATAGGTCCGTGGGTTGGTGATAGTGATAGCCCTGGAGGGGATGATTCGCGAGTCTTGGACTGCTCTTGTCTTTTTAGGGCTTGCGTACCTGCGTTTGAGGTATTTCCTAGCGGTAGGCTGACTATGTAGGTAGGTACCCTCCTTCTATTATGGCCAATCAGGCCATGGAGTCTAGGTCGGCCGATTTGGACATGCCTGGATCGAATGGCGCTATCTCCAGGCGTTATTTGTCGTTAGATCGATTGGTTGCTTACTTCTATACATGGCCAAGGCTAATAAAGTATGTCCATACCTCAAATTGACCAAGCCGATACCTTGATATTCTTACACAGCTGTAAATCGCCATAAAATTAAAATGATCTGAGCCTGAAGCAACATGCTCTCCAAACCAGATGCCCAACTCCTTCCAGGCGAAGACGACCCTATAATATCGCCCAATCACAATCCCCAATTCAACCGGAAATTCCCCAAGGGGTGTCTCCATGATCAGCGTCCAGTCCGGTCTCTCGGTGTCCGGTGGAGCAAAGTGGCTTCATACATACGAGACCCGACCAGATGGGCGAGGTGGAGAAAGAGGCAAACTGGCTGTGGATGCGTTCGTGGGAGGTTGCCCACCTCGGAGGACCTTCCCCGGACTTTAGAGAGTTCACGATCTTTAGAATTTGATCTACGCTCATTATTTCTCTGAGTTTAGTAGATATCGTCATTTTTATTTATTCTTGTCTCATCAAGAAGATATTGATATCGCTAATTCTTCGAGTAGAATCAATCTACAGGAAATTATGTTCAAATCAAGATCTCGACCTAGCCCAATTCCAGTAAGCCATATCTCCTAGTCTAAACTAGCCCAAGTCAAAACGTGACCGATACCCCTAATCTGGCGCATACAACCGTGCAAGTAGGTGGGTTGGCTAAAATATGACGAGCCAGTGAGTGGCAGTAGAAAACCAAATCCCGGAAATGATCCACACAGAGACCGGCAGCTGATCAACGCCCCCTACCCGAGTCATGTTCAAACACAATTCAACGCGAAATACTATCTAAATGACGGAATACAAGAACCAAGAATACATTTATCTGGTATCGGTCTTGTCCGCTGATATTCGATGTGCGGGAGTGGATATCATTTCGTGTGTGGAAGTGTTCGCGCCGCTGGACAGTGTTGGGTGGGACACAATAGGACTGCTTTGCAGAGGCCGGAGATGTTTCTCCGAGATGTTTCTCCGGGTAATCGGTTGGAGTGATGCGTGATCAGGGTGCTTGTAGAGATCCATTCTTGAATTAGGTGGATATTCGGCTTTTGTCCGCGCTTTGGAGAGTTTGCCTGATCAACATGGAGACGTGGATTTGTTCGGCTTTGTCCGGTGATTGTTGATCTTAGCCTAGTGTGGATGTATAGATCTGGTTCATCTAGCAAGGAGACTCAAAATTCAGACAAATCGCACGTTCTACTAGGATGCAAGCGAGGGAGTACGTAGGGAGATAGTCAATTGAAGTTGTTTGGTAATGCTGATCCACAATGGAAATCAGATCCGCTGCTAAAGACGATAACGAGGGGCTGGCCAAGTCCGAAGGTTCATCAGCTTGCCTCCTATCTTGTATGACTGATGAAGTGTGACGAATATTCATAACTGGTGGGGGCGGCGGGCATTGGGCTTCCTCCAGACCCAAGCACGTCGGACAAAACGAATGCGTATATCATATTTTCAAAATACAGGCGTACTGAGAACATGATTTGTAATCGAGCCCAAGTGCAAAAGGCAGTGTATGTTTTTACATACCGCCACGGCTGAAAAGCTCCCGGCCAATGTCACCGCTGCGGCGGACACTCTGGCTCGACGAACTACTGCGTCGGCGGCGGCTACGAGACTCCGCGGGATCAGCTGGGTTCAGCCCGCTGGCTCGGGCATGCAAGTTCAGGATGTCAGTCAAGCTGACTACTCCGGCTAAGCGCCCGGACAGTCGTGCTCCATCTAGGGTGGAGGAGGGAATGGAATGCGAGATGGGCGATGGCACTGGGACCGTCACGCCTGGGCCTGGGCATGTGTAGGGTAGGTTAGGAGTTGGTAGGTGAGGGGCGGTATACTGAGAGGGCTGTGCAGAAGGTGTCACGGGTACAGAAGGGGATGGTGGCGGAGAATTTGTGGTGTGCGATCCGGTAGCTGGGCTGACGCTGTTGGAAAGAGGGAGATGTACTGAAGACTGTGAGGGGGTTGGCGGTCCTGATGAGGTTGGAGATAATGGATCAGTCACCCAGAGCCTAAATCTGCAGTCAGTACATCTTCTGTTTATATCTTAAGTGTGCAGTAGTTACCGATGAGATCGAGTTGCCACGAGCTTTGCGACTGTGTGAGCGAGTGTCGATCCAGGATTGACATGGAAGACTGGGAATGAGTCTTTACCCTCAATCAACCCCCGTGTAGACAGAATGATTGAGATGAAGTGAGTGCAGGTGTTTTGAAGAAGTGGCAATGAAGATGATCGGGTCAAAAGCTGCAAAATCGTGAGTAAACTTTGCCAGCTAAGATAGCTTGTCACATACCTTGACATCCGCTGTGGAGATATTCCCAAGCACGTTTAAGTAGCTATCAACAACCGCGATCGAGGACATACCCTCGTTGTTCATCACATGAAGAGCATCAGAGAGGGGTTTATCACCACTGCAAATGACAAAACGGCGGTTAGATTGCTCTTCAATGATTCACCAAAAAACTTACTTGATGGAAATCACCTCTTGAGATCCAATCACCAGCTCACGCAGAGCCTTCGGGTAGAGCTCTTCAATGACCGGAAAGCTGCGGCCATTTTCCCAGAGGAATTTGACCAGTCGAAACTGGCTGAAGATTCCGACCACTTCTTGATCATCTGACTCATTGACCACCACAACCCGGTGCACACCACCGCCAAAGATCTCAACTGCAGTCAAGACATTGGCCGATGCTGGCAGGGTGATCAGGGGCTCCTTCTCCATGCCAAACTTCTTCACATCTCTCAGCGGAATAGGTACGCCGTCGTGAGCTTTCTTGGCTAGTTCTTCATAAAACGCTTGATGCGCTTCGTCAGGGTGTGTCAGGCCCGCTGCCAGCAGGAGATAGGAGTTGAGATCGGCATAGTCGAATGTGGCGACGGCGGAAGTGGCTTCAGGGGTCTCGCGGATCAACAGCACAGCTGCACCTGAATCGATCAAGATCTAGTTGGACGAGCATGTTAGTCCAAGGACCGGTAGTGTTGCCTCTGTGAGATGCTCACGTTAGTTGCCTCTTCGATGCCCGTATCAAGCTCGACAAACTTCAGGTCATCCGGGCTGACCAGCTCGCCAATTGAGATCTCTCTCCAATCACGACCAACAAAGGCAGGGTCGTTAGATTTCGGTGGCGGGGGATTGTCGATGAGGCTCTGGATGGCAGACTGTGGGAGGGATGGCTGCCGACGTGAGCGGGGAGAACCGGGCGGGCCGCGAAGTGACTCGCTCAAGCTCTGTCTGTGCTGGTGGTTTGCTGAAACGCGGAGTGGGTTTCGTGTAGAGGAAGACCGGGATTCAGTGCTGGATCGCGGGGAAGCAATGGACGCATTGTTGAGGGAAGTGTCTGACCCTTCGCGGGAGTGAAAACGGTCCGCCATATCAGAAGTTCTTCTCGGGAGATTAGCTAAAGACAAGGGTCGGCAATATGTTGCGAAATGTGAGATGCAGCAAGGTTACTTCATCCTTCTGAGGTCATCAGGTGATGTTGATCATATTAAGCGGGTCCATAAGCGGGGTAAACCATTCAGCCAATCAAAACAGACCAATAACAATGTTATTGTGTATACTTCACAAGTACAAGTCTTCTCTCTATCTGATTCTTGAAAGATATTTCAGGATTAGAGGAATAATGCAGTGCAAGCATGTTGAGAATGTGTAACAGTTGTCAGACTACTTCGAAATCAAACTATTCTGGCCATTCCAACGCCAATGTTCAACCAAAGTCCACGAACTGCCACCGATGATAAGAGACTCACTGAATATATAGCGTAGTACTAGAGGATGAGGGATATGTCGAAGGCAGGATGTCCTTTTCGCATGTCTTGTTCATAGATATTTTGTCCTCTTCTCGGTTTCATAGATGTACGATGTAAAAAAAAGCGTGATATGTGAAATCTACTTTTCTGTGTATAAACTTTAAGTGAAAACAGCTTGCAATGTGCAAAACGGCTTTTCGATGTATAACATTTGCTTGACATAGAATCATAGTTGCTTAATCTGTCTATATCGATAATCTTTCAGCTTGACTGTCAGCAAAGCTAGTCTTTGCCACATATAGCTCCCTATTCCCAGGGTCAACGTTGGAGCGTGGAAACTCGGCAACAGCTTCGCTCGCTCTATAAAGCTCACCGTTTTCAATGCCTTCAAGAGTATAATTCTTGGTCTCAGGTATCAGCAAGGTCACAAGAGCAGTGAGCAGCATGATCCCCGAGAACAAACCAAGCACACCCTCCAAGCCGATTGCATCTTCAACAGTACCGAAACCAAATGCAGTTAACATTGCGCCGCATTTTCCGGCAGCAGCAGATATTCCATGTGCAGTGCCTCGAACACGCGTTGGGAACACTTCTGCGGGGATCAGGAATGTCGTGCAATTGGGACCAACGGTCAGCAAAAACTGCGATAAGGCAAAGATAGTCATCAAGCCAGCTGTCGGGGTGTGTGCGCTCTGTGTGCTGATTCCAGCCCATATGGCATAAAGGATGCACACCATAATACTAGTCCAGAATTGTTGACGTACACGACCTATACGATCAGGGAGGAAGATGCCGACGTAGAATCCGGGGAGATAGCCTGCTGCCTGTATGATGATATTACCCACAGCAGTGTTGTATAGCGTCTTCCACGGTGTTGTTCCACTTGCATAACCGATTCTTGCCAGTATAATGCTTTGGTTGAGATTGATACCATAATATGCGATGTCGCTATGTGTATTAGTTTTGAGTTCCTTTTCTTCGAAGGCCATATACTTACAACAAGAACCAGGAGGCTGCCGTTGCAAACAGCACTTTTGCATGTTTCCAGTGACTGAAGTATTGGCAAAAGTCTTCCCACTGCTTCTTGAACGTGCGCTTCTGCCCAGCAGCGTCATCGCAGACATCTAAACAACATTAGCTATATTCAAAATACAACATTGAAGGCACTCTCACATTGCTTGTAGGGCAGTGTCTCCGTGATTGTCAACCGGGCATAAAGAGTGAACACCGCTGGCACAATTCCAATACCCAATAGCAGGCGCCAGACCCATTCGAGATGGCTCAGGTTGTCAGCTATAGACCCCTCAAATGCCTTGAGCAAGATCAGAAACACGATGCTGGCTGCAATATTACCGAGGCCAATATTCGAGAAGACAGTCAACACTTGGATAGCACGGGAGCCAAATGGTGACTTTTCTGCTGATAAAGATGAAGACAATGGATAGTCTTCCTCAAGTTAGACCTGCTATACACTTTTATGCGAAAGGAACATCACTTACCAGCCCCAATGCCTACCCCGGTTACAACACGAAACACTGCAATCCATGCCGTCACAGACTGGGCCGACATCCGGTTCCAGGGCAACAAGATCACCATGAGGGTTCCAAATATAGTGAGTAAGAGTTCTTTGCCATAAATTGTGTGGCGACCCCAAACATCACTCATAACCCCAAACAGAAGCTGGCCAACAACCATGCCCAGGCTCAGGCCACCTTTAATAATGTCGCTGTCGACTGTCGGTACCTTTCCATCTTGGAAGTATAAGTAACCCAGAATTGGTACCACTGTTTAACATCAGTTTGCGGCCTGATATGATTAATTGAAGTCACTCACCAAGTCCGATTGTTAGGTTAAGATAGCCATCCGCGAAGAATCCAACACCCGCAGTGACCACAAACCTCAATTTGGCTCTCAGGGACGCCATTGGAACGAATCGAGTGGTTCTCGAGGTTGGGATGATAGACGTGATTGAAAAGCCAAAAAATGTGATTCTAGCCTTGAGTTGCACGCCGGCAGATATACATTGTTGATTCTGTGCCTGATAGTGAAATTATATACTCTTTTGACGTTGCGTATAATGGGAGTCATAACTATCACAGACATTAGTATCTCGGGGAGAACTACCGTTAGCCTTTGTGAGGTATAAATTCATGTCGGACTTGAGATTCCTCACGAAGAATCAAAGATGCAATGAGCAACGCCAAACCTGCCACGGGGGATACACAACCAAAACGGGCAGTGCGGATAGGCCAGTCATGATTTCGCACCGCCCCCACGTGGAGCCCGGCCTTACTCCGCCAAGGGCTCCCCATAAATATATCTTCGGTGCGAAGTCCGCAACATTCTTCAGATGCGAAAGGTCATGCTCATTGTGCTGATTCTGTTTGGCGTTTGTTTGACTTGGGATTGACAGGTGCAAACACTGCAAATTCGAACGGTAACATTCCGATCCCTCTGCGTTGCAACCTCGATTATGATTATTGTTGAACACACATTATGGATATCGAACTAGTCTCTCCGCCGGCAGTAAGTGCTTTGCGAGAATCATTTGGTGATCGTAAGCCACCTGATATTACTCGCAAGATTACTGCTTGTGTAGCATGTCGAAAGCAAAAGGTTAGTTGTATTGCCGGGGATAACGAAGCAAGTAACTGACATGCGGGGAAGGTCAAATTGTCATATGCGGGAGGGTCAGATACCATGCTCGCGGTGCAAGAAGAGAGGTCTCCCTTGCAGCGTAAATCGAAGCTTGCAGACATTACTGGAAGACGACGTCACGTAAGTACGACAAAATATCTTGCACTAGTATTTCCTGATGGGATCTAGATGGAAAGGCGCCGTGGTGCAAAAGATGCGGTGGCTAGAAGAGGCTGTTGCAAAGATTGCTGCCAAAGTTGACATGCCCGAGTTACAAGCTTCGCAAGCTGCTCCTGAAATACAAGATGATTCTTCGAGTCCACCGGCTGAAGTTATTAATAAAGAAGTCATCACGGGGGGAATCTCTACCTCAAGTCAATCATCTCAGTCAAAAGAGAACTATGAGCCGCCGCAGACATGGGAAGTCATAATGGATCCTCGGGGCGGCCCAGCTTCCATCCCGGCCTCTTGCGTCTCAGAAAATGGGAAGGCAGGTCTACCAAACAATTTGTCAACTGCCCGTCGGCCAGATCTGATATCCACTGGACTTATCTCGTTACGCCAAGCCGTTGCATTGTTCGAAACATATCATCTCAGACTTGATCATTTCCTCTATCGCATTCTTGGCGACCATATTAGTTTGGACTCGGTTCGAATCACATCCCCACTGTTAACGACAGCTATTTGTACCGTGGCTGCTTTGCATTCTCACTCACTCGGCCATCTCTTTGAAACCTGCTACGGTGAATATAAGAACCTTATCGCAGCACAAACTTTCTCAAGACATGTGAATGAGGATGACATCCGCGGCCTGTGTATTGGTGCGTTTTGGTTGCATGAACTTTCTTGGGCGTTGATTGGAAATGGTAGGTGGCTGCAATCTTTTGACGAAGCAAAGCTAACAAAACTAGCTGTCCGCATTGCATCGGACATTAATCTTTATAGTGGCATCTACAAGGCCCTCAAAGGAGATCGCGATGGCTATCTTCAAGCTCGACTATACTATCTCGTCTATGTATGCGACCACCACTTCTCGATCGCCTACGGTCGACCCCCGATGTCCAGAGAAGGGTTTATAATCGAGTCGGCTAGTCGATTATTAGAAACTGAACACGCCACAGAGGACGATGCTCGATTAATCAGCCAGGTCAAGGAATGGTCAATCCTAGGTCGAGTCTTTGACACTTTCGGTGTTGACGTTGATACTCCTATTGCGCCTCAGACATTGCCTCAACTACGCCGATACTCTATTTCTTTGGACACGTGGTTTGCAGACTGGAGCGAGAGCTTCAAAGAGAATCAGAATGTCGGTAATTATCCGCAAAAGGGTGTTGGTTTCCACTTCCATTTTGCAAAGCTGTACCTTTGCTCGCACGCCTTTCGTGGTGTACCGACATCAGAGAATTCACCCCAATACATGTCACCTGAATTGGAGGAGATCGCCAATTCCGGTGTATTGTCAGCTATGTCAATCCTTCGGATGATTGTCTGTGATGCCGAATTTCGATCGTTCATGAATGGGCTTCCTTTATATTTTGACACTATGCTCGCTTTCGCCGTTGTTTTTCTCCTCAAGGTTGCAACGAAGTATGCATTCATGATCAGAATTGATACGGGCAAGATCCTTTCCCTGGTCACCGACACTGTGGCTGCCCTTCGAGATATCACCCAACCTATGCACAAACACCATCTCCTTGTTATCATTAGCGAGGGATTGGAACTTCTGTTGGGTAGATGTCAGATGGCCACTCACACAGTCCACGAAACAATGTATCACCCTTCTCCTGCCCAGGAACAGCTCCCTGTCTTTGATGCAACTTGGATGGAAAATATGGCAAGCTTTGATTTTCAAAGTAACTTCCCCGATATTGATGACTGGTGGCTACATTATAATATATCGATGGGCCCCCCTCTTTGTCCAGAGGCATCAAGATAGAAAAATGTCAGATCGACCAGTTGAGCACAAGATCAAACACGTCATAGTTCCTCCAGTCCTTGGCCTCCGCCCTGCTCCCATTGTTCACCGGGGTTGACATGATCAACGGGACTTCTTGCTCGCTTAGACCTCCATGCGACCGTAAAGGATGGTCTCTCAGCTTTGAAAGGTCATGATCTGCTTTGCAGCTACCAATGACGGCATGTGGTTTGGAAATAACTACGATATCACCTTCTCGATCCAAAGGCATCTCATATCTTTGGGCGGCATCTTGGCCGCTAAGAGCAACCTCGACATCTGGGAGTGACTCGCAAAATGAAAGTGCCGATCCAAGTTGCGTGATATTTTTGAGATAAACGCGCACAAAGGAACCAAGTGCGCCATGGTGTCGAACAAACGGATCCGTAATGGGGCAGATAACCCTGGAGGCATTCGGCCCAAACTTGGCATTCAGAACTTCCTCCAAGAAGAGAACGTTGGGCTCTCCCAGTTCATTCGATTTTTGGCTCATGCCATGGTCACCAGTTATACCGATAACTGGAGCTAGAGCGGTAAGCCTCTGCAAACGCCCATCGATTGCTCCCATGAAATTGTCAGCCTCATTGCTGCCAGGTTCATACTTGTGCTGAATGTAATCGGACAATGTCAAATATAAAAAGTCCGATCTCTTCTCTTGAAGCAATTTAATGCCCGCATCAAGCACAAACAGAGACAAATCACCCGAATATTGGCAAGGGGCAGGCTGACCGAGCCACTCTTCCACATCTGAAATTCCGTTCTCGTCCAGAGTGCAATCGGCTGCCCTTTCCGAAGAAAAGCAGATAGCTCCCTTCAAGCCATGGGCAAGGATTTTGCGCAGTTTGTCTTTGGCAGTGATGGCCGACACTCGTACACCACGCCGGAACATCTGCTCCAGTATTGTTGAGCCGCGAAGCAGGGAGTCGTCGGTGATCATCTTGGTCTCGCCTGTCTTTCGGTCCAAGAAGAAGTTTCCGGCAATTCCATGTGTTGATGGTGGTACGCCTGTAATGATAGATACGTTGTTCGGATTGGTGAATGAGGGCATGCAGCTCTTGGCAGTGGCATGGAATCCATTGTCGAGGAATTTCTTGAAAGTCGGCAGAAGGCCTCTCTCGATACCAGACTTTAAGTACTCTGGATCGAAGCCATCAACACAAATTACGACGGTGGGCTGTGTCGGCAGGGTATATTCTTTCGAATGTAGAGTGAATTTTGACCGGGAGCCTAGATTGATGTTTAGTATATATATCGGGTTGGTACACGATCGCGATCAGACACTCACCGATAAGACATTGATAGCCTATTTCCTCATAGGCTTCCAGATCGGGGACTTTAAAATTCGGCTTTTTCGCGAGATCATCCCATCGTCTGACAGAAAGCTTTGCCTCTAGCAAGGGATCCTGTTGCGCCTCCCGGACCTGCTCGGTATTGTAACCACCGCCCTAATCGTTGTTAATATACTTCAAATCTTAACAATATAGGAAGTAGAAGACGGCCTACCTGGAACTTCAATGTCCGCTTACTGGTCTCACTCAATGCATCGTAATAGTCTTGATCTGTCGCGACCAAATAGCGCTTAGCCATTACATGCGCACCAACCAACGTGCACACTTTCTCACTGAACCCAATCTGGCGCAGGTAAGACTCTCCCAGGGCCTCGTGGCTTTGTCTTCCAATGTACTGGCCGTCGGGAGTGATCATTTTCCCCATCTTCTCGGCCGCAGGGATGAATCGGCCGACATCGTGCAGAAGTGCAGCCAGAATAACCTCGGGGTCATTTCCATGTTTGGGGGACTGCGTTGCAAGATATGCACATTGTAGCGAGTGCTCTAATTGGGTTACTTGCTCTCCAAGATAGTCACCCTGGCCCTGTGCGTGCAGAAATTGGAACAATGTTTTAATAGTTGCTCGAGTATGTTCCTCGACCGAGGCGAGAGGTTGGTTAGTCTGGGGGACTTTCATGTTCATGTTCATGTCCATTTTGATATTTTGGTTGTTTTGACTCAAAAAATGGTTTATCGGGGTCTTAAATAGATCCCTCGTTTACGTCGTGTCTGTCATATTAAAATTCCACCGAAATTGCAAGGCACGAAGTCCGTCCACGTGCATTTGATGATCTTCGTAGTAACTTGCCCTTCTGATAATTCATGTGAAGAATAGTCGCTTATGCTGCCTTGCGATGTATTTTTGGATATCTTCTCCTCAACATTTATAGATAGACAGCAGAAAAAGGCTTATTCTATGAAAATGAAAACGACTTTTCCCATGTATAACTTTTGATATTCTCTGAGCATGAGCGAATCGCGACTCGGCACGAAGCCCGGTCTGTGGTGCATAGGATTTCTATCCTCGGGACGAACACCTTCACCTAATTCCTGTGCAACAGAAATCATAAAGAAATACCCCAATAATGATTAACTCATGAGGAAATTGAGGGCCGAGTCATCGGAATGGCCCCGCATAAGAAGGAAGTTGAGACATTTCGAACCTATTAAAAGCTCGTTGGTTGCTACTTTTTCGCTTCAGGTTATTTCAAAATTAAACTATTTTATTACCTGCGTGCCTCTATCGTTTCGACCAAATTACTCCAAGATGTCACCTCTCACACCTGAGCAAACAGCTTCTTACCATGAAAATGGCTACCTCCTCCTACGCGCCGACGAGCATAAACTCGTTGACCCCATAGAACTCAAGCGATGGACGCAAGAAGTCCAAGTCTGGCCTCGTGTCAAGGGCAAATGGCTGCCCTATGACGAAATCAACATCAACGGCGAACGCCAACTGATGCGCACGGAAAGGTTCATTGACTACCACCCTGAGTTCAAGTCATTGGTCTGCGGTGAGCAGCTGGCCGAGATTCTGAAGGCAGTCTCAGGCGATGTATATTCCCTAGATCCTGCATAATATCTATTAGAATATTATACTAACATAAAACTTCTAACTGTAGAATATGTTGCTCTTCAAAGAGAAGATCAACTACAAACAGCCCCAGGGAAACGGATTCCAAGCGCACCTTGATGCACCAGCCTACGACCATATCGGCCGCATCGAACATGTTACTGCCAACATTGCCGTCGACGCCGCGACTCCTGAAAACGGATGTCTGGAGGTCGTACGCGGGTCACACAAGATGCAAGTGGAGTTTGCGGAAGGTGGCCGAATCACGTCTGAATGGGAACACGCGCATGAATGGACTTCTGTTCCACTTGAAATGGGTGATATGCTGGTCTTTGGGTCACATCTTGCCCATCGCTCGGCTGAGAACAAGACTGATAAGAGTCGGTCGAGCCTTTATGCTACCTTTCACTCAAGGAGTGACGGGGATGATCTTAGGGAGCAATATTACAAGCATCGAATGGAGATGTTCCCACCTGAGCATGGTGAGTTATTCTTTGGAACCTTAGAAGTTCAAATAGTTGAGAGCCGAATTGCTGATATATATCTCCCAGAGCGTGAGAAAGGCAAGGATTACTCCAAAGGCTATCAGACTTATGGCTTTGCGGCACCTTTCACCAAAGTCCAAGACCAGACTGCTGCAACCGTTGATGTTGCTTAGTATGTACTAGTATGGATATCGTTTTTTGTGTTTATCAAATTCAGAATGTTTATCGGAACTTTTGAACACCAGGCTGAGGGCGAATTGAGCCAATGCTTTCTATATATTTGACAAACCTAATTGGAAATAATAGGGGAAGAATTTACCTCCTGCGAACAGATGCTAAGAGAAGTATTCAACTATGCTCGTAGCTAAAAGGCTCTCAAAATTCAGGAGTAGTGCTTTGAATACTTCTGATCAAACTGTATGAAACAGTCACAACCCTATTTGGTACGTACAGTTGTGTACAAGGTACATAGTATGTATATAACGACACTATAAAACACCCAAGTCCACCCACAAACACGAACTAACCACCCACAATACTGAAAAGAAAATATTCAAATCAATCGTCTTGATATAATGGCACAACCATATCTCCTACCATCACTGTCCTGCGATCAGGAAGTTCCGAGTCAAAGCCCTCGAGTTCTTCCGGAGAAAGTGCGGAATATTTGCCAAATTTGACCTTCCCGTCGATGTTTCGCGTCTTGGCAAGCGTTGAAAACGGCTCAGCGCGTCGGACGCCGGTGAACTGGTCTATACAAACCATTTGACATCGCTGGCATGCATCAAGAGCATCGAACCGAAGTTGATCTGGCCCAATTCGAAGGGATGACCACCGGTCCTCCGCATATGGCTGTTCCACATCGCCACGGCGAGCAAGCCGTTCAGCAACGACAATATTACCCCGGAAAACGTCTGCAGCAACAGTCTTACTGCTGCCGTGCTTGTTGTTTGCTTTGATGGTCTCATTCAATCGGTTGACAGACGAACGTGAGACAATTAGAATTGGCGACTCGTTGGATAACGTGATTTGTGTCTGGCTACCCTCACGTGCCGGGAGAGGGAAATCAGGTGGGAATGAGCCAGGCATAATCAGCTTGCGGAAACGGTGCTTCCACGTATTCGGCGTCTGTTGCATCCGTGAGTACCGGCTGGTGGTCTGTGTAGGGAACCGTGCGAGAGTACAGGGTACTGCCAGGAAGTCCGAGAAAAATGCAGAGACCACCGGGGACGTGTAGGCATGGAGAGATATTCGGTCGCCACAGACTGTTGTAGGTTTTTTGGTCGAGCTTGGACAGAAGGATGTGGAGATGAGACTGGTGTCCTCCCAGCCAAGTGAAATCTCAAGGCTAACTTGATCTGGTGCGGCGATTGCACCACAAGTAATGCGGAGAACTCCTTTTTCAATGTCAATCGAGGGTCTTATGAGACACATGCGAGGGTATCTATTAGGGTTAGTTTAGGAATTCGGATACTTTGGTTGGGTACAACATACCTTTTCTGATTCAGGGCGGCTCCGGTCCCTTGGTGAACCAAACACCATTCCCTATCCCAAGCCAGTCCTTCTTTTTTCACTTCCCAGCGCTTTCCCTCGGGTATTCTGAAAGCACCACAACTCTTGATTGGGAACACTGCTAGGCTTTCAATATAGAAATGAGGGGCAACGACCTCATTGTCTTGTGCCAGAGGATCCAGTGCAACTATAGGTGGGCACTTCTCCACATAAAACTCCTCTATGAAGTTTATCAAGGAGTCTATATCCTTCATATTTGTCGTGGCACCGATACTGACACGCAGAATCCCTGTTGGTCGCCCTCCCAGGACATCATGGTTATCACCACAACGCAATCCCGCAGAGTAATGCCGACGAAGCTCAGGTCCAGTCCACCCAAGTGATGAGGCTGTTCCTCCTGGATTGCAAACGGAGCCAGTGCGTATCTGCAAGTTTTGCACCGTAGCCAATTTTTCCACCTCAGTTTTGGGAACCCATTCACCGCGGCTATTGCAAAGATTGAACGCAATAATCGGACCTTGGGTATGTGGATTGCCATATGCCGAGCCGTGTGATTGATAAATTTGACAGACTTTTCTCTCATTGAAATGTGCCAATGAAGAAAGCCTATCATAGACTTGCTTTGCGAGGAACCCAGCATGGGCCGAAATGTTCGCCATAGAACCAAATAAACGTTCATGGGAGTCCAAGGCCGTGTCCAGAGCTATGATATTATGAAATGGGAGAGTTCCATCCTCTAGACGCTCGTGAATAGAGGCCTCCTTTTTCGCATGCCATTGCACCCCAGTGGCCAGGACCATGTCAACGGTGCCTCCGCCAAAATACTTCCGTCGCTCAAACACTCGTGCAGCACTTTTGCGGACAATCAAAGCGCCTAAATCTGGAAACCCAAAAATTTTGTAGAAGCTGAGTACAGTGAAGTCTGGAGCAGATGAGGACGGGCCCAGATCAAGTGGAGCGGTTGATACCAGCGACGCAGCGTCAAGCAAGGTGTACACATTTCCTCCACTTTCGTTTGTCGCAGCTCGCACCTGCTCGCACCATCGAATAGGCAGACGCCTGCCGTTCATATTGGATTGGGCTGGGTATGCAAGTAGTCTGGGCGCCTTCGACTGGTTGCCAGCCAACTTTGAAATCTCAGCCTCCATCTCATCATCATTTTGAAAACACTGATAGCCCATTTCGGCCAACTCTCGTACACCGACGAGACTGGTATGAGAATCAATGTGGTAGCCATACCAAAATCCTCGATGGTCGGAATCTCGGAGTGAGTCTGCAACTAACTTAATGCCAGCAGTTGCGTTTGCCACAAAGACAAGATCGAACTCATCTGGGTCTGCATTAAAGAATCGCAATACGCGGACCCGAACATCTTCTGTTCTTTGGGTAGAAAGCTGCGACGACGCAGACATCGAATGAGGGTTTCCAAACAGATTGGATGTAAGATCACGCGAGAAAGACTCGATCATGGACCTGGCGTAGGGTGTTGTCCCTGCATAGTCGAGGTATGTTGTGTCTGGTAGAGCAATGATCAGCATGGATCGAGTGATAGCAAACGGGCACTTGTACCATTTAGTAGAGGGTACTCTTGGTCTCGGATTATGTCCACATCGGCGGAGTAACCTTGACTATACTTGGGATGTACAGACTCCTGAAATGTTGATTCTGCCATTATTGAAGTTCAAATTTGGACAGACACACTCCAAGACTTGTTGTACTCTGTTGTACTTTGTTTGGAATCAAGGTGGCAAATTGTGAAAGAAGGTGGGACTTGTGTATATGTACCTAGCAGCACAATCAGCACATAATGAATAGTTTAGAGATCCAGAAATAGACTGTATAGTTGGGCGACTGTGCAATATCAAATGAATTTGAAGAAAGAGGGGGAGCCTTACCAGATATAAGACAGCTATATTCTCATCGGAGGTCACCGATGCCGACAAATTAACTAGCCCGGGTGTGATTTACAGTCCACTGCAAAGGGATAGGCTATCGGAGGTTTAGAAAAAATGCACATTCCAAAAGCCTGGTGGATAGCTTTTATAGGTTATTTCAACTTTTCGAGGTGTGCAGTGAAGGGACAAAGAATGTCTCGAGATAGGATTCCCCTCGCGCGTTACCTGTGACGTATCGGACGTGGCAATAATTGTGTTGTAGAGCCTCACCGCTCTGGCTCTTTGTTCTCATCCTATCACACGCACTGTTCGACATTATATACACGAGGATCTACATCCATCAGCCCTGGACCCCACTGCATCGCGATTCTCATGCACTCCATGCATAATATCAGAGTCACTATACCTTTTACAGTCACAGACTGCCTCATCGGGGAGACATGTTTGCATCAGCCGACATATTCATGAGTACTATTGAAACTAATGATTAAACCTCCACTTCTTAGTACACGATCACATTGATCGCTATAGGCTTCCAACCAACCATTTAGCTTATGAGGCACTTCTTCCATCATGATGTCTCATAAGTCCCAATAGCGCCGCCGATGCACAACGATTAACCCAACTTGCATGGATTTCTAGGATCATGCCAAAGCTAAAGCACCACCTTCGGTCTCATCACATGTCAGCTTACCAACTCGCGTTTATTGTTCTTCATACATGGAGAGTGTGCCTAATTTATCGATGATGCATTGGGCCGAAACATCATAGCTACAAGCTGACCGAAATACACTAAAGAACCCATGTCATCACATCCAACTCAAGTGCCAACACGGTAGACAGGTCAATCTTGTAATTGTGCAAAAAGAGCCAGGAACAACGCCACTGTATTATATTATTACAAATCGTTTCCGAGGCTGAACCATCTGAGGCTGAACTGATCAACGCCACGATAATCTTCGTGGGGTGTTTACTATAGTTTACTATTATTGACTATTTCTTCTCAGCGATTCACCTCACCCTAGCTGCTTGAGCCCCGCTTGTGAATTGCTCGCAATATTGGACGTGTTAAGCTGGGGGTAAGTAGGTTTCTTATTGGTGTGAAGGATGGGGAAAGATAACATTGGCCGGATACATGTAAAGGTTTTTCTTGGGTACCATTGGGCGATGTGACCGTAGATTGTATTGTACAGATGGGGTTGGTAGTATACTTCAAAGACAAAACTCCGTCCCAAGCTCCTGCTATGGCTCGTACAAGTATTTGTGCCGATCCGGTTCGCATAAGAATCGACAGAGCAATGAAAAGCCAGAATGAACAAGCTGGCCAGAATAAAGAAGGGAAACAAGATGCTGTGATGTGTAGCAGTGGGGCATCCCCATTACCGCTTGGGCCATTGTCTCCAGCCACGGCCATGACCTCTCTGTTGCGCCGAGTCAGCATTGCTCTAATCACTTCGACGGGAAGGATCAATCTAGTACTAACCTGCTTCCACATGCGGACCATTTCCGGCATTCCTTCCATTGCTTTGCGGCGATCTTCAAGACGTGACTCCATGGTACGCTCCCACTTGTGACCCTTGACCTTGTGGCCAACACCAGTTCCCTTCACCTGCAAACCACGCTCTGCGCGCCGTGTCTCCTTGAATTCGGGTGATTTGCGACTAGGAGGAAGGAGTTCCCCCACATTGTATTTGATAGCCAACTTCATCAGATCGGCCTGCTGCCGCAGGCCATATTTCGGCGCTTCCCATTTGCCGAATCGCTTATGCGGAAGAAACGGATTGCGGAGTTCGTCGCTAGTAACGAGGAGTGCACGTGAAGGGGTCCAGCCAAACTTTTTCTCTCCTGGAGCACCCTTGGCATCACGGTCTGGTGTGTATGGAGATTCTACCTTCGTTGGTACATAGCCCTCTCCGTTCGCAGGGGCAGGACGGCGGACGGCTGCGGAGTGGGTTTGTGGAGGATAGCGAGCGAAGAAATTTACCAGACGTTGAGGAAGGTTTTCCAACAATGCGCCCGTCTGCTTCGAAACCGACATGATGGATCAAGATGGTTTGTGATCCTGGTGTGCACAAGCAGTTCCAAGGTTGTTTGTGAGTGTTCAGGTCAAAAAGTTGATACCGCCCGAGCTCACGCCAAGGCCTTGAAATATCGCCTCAGGCGACAAGGCACCAAGTACTATTAATGCCTTATCTGCACCGCCTTGGGGCACACCGCCCAGGAACCCCCGGAGGGCAAGGGCGGTAGCCGCCTGCATAACCAAAAGAATTCTCGCCTCAGGCATTAGAATTCCTATCTTCTTCGGCTCGCTTCAGTCTCGTTTCACCCCCAAGAATTCCTTCCCTTCGAAATCTTCATTGTTACCATCGCTGTTATCTTATTCATACCCGCAATTTCATACCTATCGTTCATTCTGAGGTATTGACTTCTTCTCGCGCATTCTCAGCACTGCGACGACCATGGCCGACTATCAGTACGGAGGCTCCGAAGAGGAGAATGCGGAGATTAGAAATCTCGAGACAGAGCTGGTACGTGTTCCACGCGCATCCATAAACGTGTTTCTCGTTAGCTAACGTATATATCTTTTACAGCTTGATGATCCCGACAACTTTGAAACCTGGGAGAAGCTGGTTCGCGCCGCGGAGGCCCTTGAGGGTGGAATAAATCGTAATTCCAGCCCCCAGGCTATCACAACCGTCCGCTCGGTTTATGATCGCTTCCTCGCCAAGTTCCCTTTGCTCTTTGGGTACTGGAAGAAGTATGCCGACCAAGAGTTCTCTATCACCGGCACTGAGGCCGCTGACATGGTATGCATGCACACTTTTTGGGCAACAGCCTCTTCTTTTCCATGGCTTTGTACTAATCTTACCGCTATAGGTTTATGAACGAGGCATTGCTAGCATCTCGCCATCCGTTGATCTTTGGACCAACTATTGCTCGTTCAAGGCGGAGACTTCGCACGATTCCGATATCATTCGAGAGTAAGTGAGAGTAAAGATGGTCTTCTTCCCTTTCCCTATAACCGTTACCGACGCAGCTCGCGAAAGTTCTCGTGGTGCCGGTCACATGTTTTCTGGATATTTCAATATCCAGCCAGTCTCATTGTTGATGGGTGAGAGACCACTCGCTGTTTTGCTTCCCTTGATCTAAGTGGAGTTTACTTCTCACCCATAGCTCACTCAGGCTGCATTTTTCCTCTGATTGGCCAAATCACCATCTTGCATTGAAGGCCAAGGAATAGTCTCGTTCGATAGCCCTTTACGGTGCACTGGATGCCCACCTATCCCTTAGCTTCATCCACCGCACTCATTTGATTACCTGGGGTTTCACAAACAGACAGGGTTTACTACTCATGTTTGCCATCTTCAATATCCTGTTCCTGTCTCCCATCATTCCTATCCCACCCATCAGGCCCATGTTTCCGCATCATGCTAACTTAATTACCCACCAGGCTTTTTGAACGGGGTGCGAGCAGTGTGGGTCTTGATTTCCTTTCCCATCCCTTCTGGGATAAGTACATTGAGTTCGAGGAGCGGGTTGAGGCCCACGACAAGATTTTTGCTATTCTTGGACGTGTTATCCATATCCCCATGCACCAGTATGCTCGCTACTTCGAACGGTACCGTCAGACCGCGCAGACCCGCCCCTTGTCCGAGCTCGCGCCAGCAGAGACCATGACCGCATTCCGCACTGAGATTGAATCTGCATCGTCCCAGCCGGCTCCTGGCGCCAAGGCTGAAGCCGAGATCGAGCGGGATCTCCGACTTCGTGTGGACAGTTACCACCTTGAGATTTTCACGAACACCCAAACCGAGACGACCAAGCGCTGGACTTTTGAATCGGAGATCAAGCGTCCCTACTTCCATGTTACCGAGCTTGATGAAGGCCAGTTGGTGAACTGGAAGAAGTATCTCGACTTCGAGGAAGCTGAGGGTTCGTTCTCCCGCACTCAATTCCTGTATGAACGGTCCCTGGTTACTTGTGCCCATTACGACGAGTTCTGGCTCCGATACGCTCGCTGGATGGCTGCTCAGCCTGACAAGCAAGAAGAGGTCCGGATCATATATCAGCGTGCCTCGTACCTCTACGTCCCGATTGCCAATCCCACAATCCGACTCCACTATGCCTACTTTGAAGAGGTGTCAGACCGTGTGGATGTGGCAAAAGATATCCACAATGCCATTCTTATGCACCTCCCCAGCCATGTTGAAACCATTATCTCACTCGCCAATATGTGTCGTCGCCATGGAGGACTTGAGGCGGCCATTGAAGTCTACAAGACACAATTGGATTCGCCAGAGTGCGAAATGGCCACAAAGGCTGCTCTCGTTGCCGAGTGGGCCCGCCTTTTGTGGAAGATCAAGGGTAGCCCTGACGAGGCTCGCAAGGTTTTCCACGAGAATCAGCATTACTACCTCGACAGCCGACCCTTTTGGGGAAGCTACCTCGTCTTCGAAATTGAGCAACCCACCAGCGCGGCTACCGAGTCGGTCCAGTATGAACGTATCAAGCAGGTCATTGCCGACATCCGATCGAAGAGCGTTCTGCAAGTCGATGCTGTCAAGGAACTCGTGCAAATCTATATGACATACCTTCTTGAGAGGGGCACCAAGGATGCCGCGAAGGAATACCTGACCCTGGATCGAGAAATCTATGGCCCTTCATCCGTGGCTTCTGTTCGGACTGGCGGGAATGTGGCGGTGCACCCCACCCCTGCAGCCGGACAGTTTGCCTCAGTTGCTCACATTCAAGCCACACCGGATGACCCCGCGGCTGCTGCACAGGCATATGCCTACTACCAACAGAATGCAGCGAACGGTGCAACTGCTTGAAATCCAAGAGTCATGTACACGTCCCGTAAAACCAATGACTGCAAGTATGGATACGTTTGTTCACGAATGGGTTCGTTTCTGGAGGTTCTGCTGGTGCCTTTTCTTTCGGTGTTTTATCTTCATTACTTACCCTGGCATATTGATTCACCTGGGTGGGTGAGTTCCTTTTCATGTAGTATCATTCCCGTTGCCCGCGCTGGGCAACCTTCCCTTCCCCCTATTGTCTAGCGATCTTGACCCAGCTTAAAGACAGGTTCTTCTCACTTTTGTCAGATGTACTGGTGTGTCCCTTCTTGGGGCTTGACACAAGCTTGTGGCCAATTCGAGATTGGATCCTTCGGGACCAATTGTATTCTAATGTGGCTTGTTTTTCCACTGAAAATTAATTCAAATTGTTTGAAATCGTTTCATTTCCTAGGAAATTGGCGTTGTTAGACTTAAACGGAGCAACAACTGGATTGTTCCAGTATTGTAGTTGCACATACTCCGTATGTGTAATCCTTTTGGCCCCAGTTCCATTGCAGCGGGCCCCCATTATTAGCCGTGATCACATGGAGATAGCAGATAGTAGACGGATAAGTACACGTGATATGGCCCACGTGATTACGCGTTTGGCTCTTATCATATTCCGTAGAAATTCATTATCACTCACTTCTCGTCTCTAGTCCAGTGGTTTCATTAGCCTTCATTTCTCCCACATACACAAGTCATGACCAACGCCTCTGAGGGATTCCCTCCGCTTCCTCCCCCGGATCCAGTGGCGCGCCCACCCAGCCCGCCTCCGCCTCCTCCAGAAGACTTGGCCGCTCCGCCGCCGCCGCCAGACAGCATCGCCCCTCCACCTCCTCCTGATGATGTACCACCTCCCCCCCCAGTTGAGACCCAGAAAAAGCAGAAGCTAGGATGGGGTGCAAAGAAATCGGCTGTCACTCCGCTGAGTGTGGAGGACTTGATACGCAAGAAGAAAGAAGCAGATGCGGCAACGGCAAAGGTAAGCTTTTCCTACTCTGGGGACGGTGAAATATGTGACGCAAGATTTGATGGCTCTTACTCACACTTATCTCTTTGTACAGCCTAAATTTTTGTCCAAAGCCCAACGAGAGAAACTCGCGCTGGAGAAACGGGCTCAAGAGGTTGAGGCAGAGCGGCAAGCCAAGGTCCGCACTAATGGCACTGATCACAATGGTTTTACAATTGAACCACCGTCGGTGAGGCCTCAAGCGTCTCGCAATATCCGGGAGGAATCAGTCCGTCATGTACCCACCGGGCCGCGAGCGATGCGCGACGAACCAGCAACTGGACCTGGTGGTATGCGGAAGGGAGGCCGCCAGCACAATCAGTACAATCGCGACCAGGATATGCCGCCACCCGCATCTAAGACTAAAGGCGAAAAGCGTCTAACGGCAGAAGACGAAGCGGCAGCGCTGGCTACGTTGACCAAGCACCGATACATGGGAGCCGACCAGACATCTAACTTCTCGGCAAAGAAGAAGCGCAAGCGTACCGCAGACCGCAAGTTCAACTTTGAGTGGAATACCGAGGAAGACACAAGTGGCGACTATAATCCCCTATACCAGAAACGACAGGAAGCCAACTTCTTTGGCCGAGGGCGTTTGGCAGGCTTTGGCGATGATGTCGCCGATGATGTCGCGCGCAAATACGCAGAAGCATTGGCGACACGCGATCACGAAGCCGGTAGTGCGCGAGCCAAACAAATGCTGGAGATGGAACGCCGGCGACGCGAGGACAGTACTCGTACACAGATTGACAAGCACTGGAGTGAGAAGCGCTTGGACCTCATGCGCGAGCGAGACTGGCGTATCTTCAAGGAAGATTTCAATATTGCCACCAAAGGTGGCAGCGTGCCCAACCCCATGCGTTCATGGGAAGAGAGTCACTTGCCGAAGCGCTTGTTGGAACTTGTTGACCGTGTCGGATATAAGGACCCAACAGCTATTCAGCGTGCGGCTATCCCTATTGCTATGCAGTCGCGTGACCTTATTGGTGTTGCCGTGACAGGTTCCGGTAAAACCGCCGCCTTCCTGCTTCCACTTTTGGTCTACATTTCGGCGTTACCGCGACTTGATGAGAATGAGTGGCGCAAAAATGACGGGCCATACGCTATTGTTCTAGCACCCACACGTGAATTGGCGCAGCAGATCGAGATCGAAGCCAAAAAGTTTACACAACCCCTCGGATTTAACGTTGTCAGTATTGTCGGTGGTCACTCGCTTGAAGAGCAGGCATTCAGCCTGCGCGATGGTGCCGAAATCATTATCGCCACCCCCGGTCGTCTGGTCGACTGTATCGAGCGTCGCATGCTAGTCCTCAGCCAGTGTTGCTACGTGATCATGGACGAAGCAGATCGCATGATCGATCTTGGATTCGAAGAGCCTGTCAACAAGATCCTAGATGCCCTCCCCGTCACGAACGAAAAGCCCGATACAGAAGAAGCTGAGAATTCAGCCGCAATGAGCCAACACCAATACCGCCAGACCATGATGTATACAGCTACTATGCCTGCAGCAGTCGAGCGCATTGCTCGCAAGTACCTCCGCCGACCAGCCATCATCACCATCGGTGGCGTCGGTGAAGCCGTCGACACAGTGGAGCAGCGTGTGGAGATGATCTCCGGTGAAGACAAGCGCAAGAAGCGCCTCGGCGAAATCCTCTCATCAGGCGAATTCCGTGCCCCGATTATCGTGTTCGTCAACATCAAGCGAAACTGTGACGCTATCGCTCGCGAAATCAAACAAATGGGCTTCTCCTCAGTTACTCTACATGGATCCAAAACACAAGACCAGCGTGAAGCCGCGCTCGCCTCCGTGCGCAACGGCTCAACAGACGTTCTCGTCGCAACTGACCTCGCAGGAAGAGGTATCGATGTGCCGGATGTGTCACTGGTCGTTAACTTCAACATGGCGACTTCGATCGAAAGCTACACTCATCGTGTTGGTCGTACCGGTCGTGCTGGAAAGAGTGGTGTTGCTATCACCTTCCTGGGCAGCGAGGATAGCGATGTTATGTATGTTACACCCGTTCCTCTCTTTTTTACACTTTGTCGTGGTTTTGATTTACTAATGCTTCTGCAGGTACGATCTCAAACAAATGCTGATCAAATCACCCATCTCGCGTGTCCCCGAGGAACTGCGCAAGCACGAAGCGGCGCAGTCCAAACCCTCACGTGGTCCTGGCGGGAAGAAGATCGAGGACAGTTCTGGGTTCGGAGGCAAGGGTGGCTGGGCATAGGCCCCTCTGCCATGCTTCTCTTCTTTCTGTATTATCTTTCATCGATACCACCCGTTGTTTTCATCTGCAAGGTGTTTCAGTGTATGTTTGGCGGCTAGGATGGCCATATGGGGTGTTTTTCTGGCAATCAAGTACACCATTCATGACCCCGAGAGGCTTTAATGCCATTTGTCTCAAAATCTAGTCGTCTGTTACTAGTATTATGTAGTTATATAGTCGTTGCAATCAGGGCGGGTATCTATCTATCTAGCCCTAGTCAATATGAGCACTTACTCTACAAGATATTGGATAATTGAGTAGAGTATGATTTTAGCTCAAACAAGCATATCCCGTGCGCTTTCTGTAGATGACAACGGGGAAATAATGTGCAGTCGAAGTTCGAGCTGCGAGCTCTGAAAGACAAAGAAATCCTAATTCCAAGAGATCTATGAACGTTGTTCAGTCGCTTTTCTCTAGATTTACAGCTTGCTCTGGAGATAGCTGTTGCTGCTCAGCCACTGCTCCACATCGTCGCGGTCGCGCTTGAGCCAGTTGATCTTGGCGCGGATGGCGTCAAGGCTCTGCTCAACAGCACGGTCGAAGCCCTGTAAGAAAGATTCGAATTAGTAAATGTTACGAAAAAATATATTTTAGGTGAAAAGTGGGATGGTCTTGGTGAATACTAACCTTAGTGTCCTTGGAGGCAAAGAAGTCCTCAACGTCCTTCAACTGCGCCTCAGTGCAGAAGCTGGCAGTGGTCAGCTGGACAACAGTGCCCAGCATGCCGAGACCGGGAGGAAGACGCTTGTAGATGTCATCCCAGTTAGACTTGAGCCAGTTCCAGCGACCCTCGATACCAGCCGCGTGGCTACGGAGACCGCCAAGAGGCATATAGATATCCTGGCTCTTGACCTCCTCGCTCATGGCAAGGCCAAGAGTGCGCTTGATAAGCTCGGGGTCCTCGGAGGCACCGAGGCAGCGCAGGGCGGTGGTCTTCTCGTCCGAAGTTGGGGCAGTGCGGGAGCGGTCCAGGATCACTTCGTACTCCTTGAGACCACCGTGCTTCAGGGCAATGGTGAAGACACTACCACGGATGTTGGGGTGGACGGCGGAGAGGTCGCCGGCAGCGAAGCGGGCGAACATGTCCAAGGCGGCCTTGACAACAATGGGGTCCTCGGCCATACCGGCAGAGCCGAACATGAGGGCCTTGAACTGTTGCAGAATGTGATCATCGTTCTCGGGGAACTCCCAGCCGATCTCGTGGGCCTTAGGGGCAACAAGTGCGCGCTGGAAAGCCTTGAGAGCGTCCTTGGTCTTGTCGTCCTCGAAGAGCCAAGCAGCACGCAGGGTACCGATACGGGTCAGGATCTCGTTCCAAACGACAAACTCTGACTCGGTATCAAGGCCCTGGAGCAAGGAAAGCATACCAGAGGTGCGCTGGAAACCAGAAGCTGCCAGGGCACCGGAGTCGGCAATCATACCGGCACGGTCCTCGACACTCAGGCGGCCGTCACGAGCAGCCTGGCCGAGCTTCTTAAGACGCTCGGGGCTGTATGATGTACGGAAGATAGCAGAGTGGTCAGCGTTGAGCTTGAAGAAGTCCAAGTCAGGAACGGGGAAGTCACGCTCGCGCTCAGTCAGCATGGTGTCTTCATCAATACCCTTCTCCGTGCGCAGGCCGAGCATGACAGGGAACAGGGTCTGGTCCTCCTCGGGACGAACGTCACCGGTACGCAGGAAACGGTTCTGCTTCACATGAATGGAAGAGTTTTCCTTGTTCTCCGTGACACTGAGGACAGGGAAGCCAACGTTCTTAGTCCAGATATCCATGACCGACTGCACGGGCTTTCCGCTAGCATCAGCAAGAGCAGCCCACAGATCACCGGTCTCGGTGTTACCATAGGCGTGCTTCTTGATGTAGTTGCGGACACCCTGGAGGAAGACATCTTCGCCCAAATACTTGGAGATCATGCGCAGGACAGAGGAACCCTTGGAGTAGGAGATAGCATCGAAGATCTGGTTGATCTCATCGGCACGCTTAACAGGCACCTCGATAGGGTGACTGCTGCGCAGCGAGTCAAGCGAAAGAGCACTCTGCAAGTTGTCGATAACGTAAGTCTGCCAAACCTTCCACTCTGGGTAGAAGACGTTGCAAGAGTACCACGACATCCAGGTAGCGAAACCCTCGTTGAGCCACAGTCCATCCCAGAAGTCCATGGTAACCAAGTTTCCGAACCACTGGTGAGCCAACTCGTGCTGAACGGTCTCAGCGATACGCTCCTTGCGGGATGCGCCACTGTTCTTCTCGTCCAGCAAAACATCGACGATACGGTATGTGATCAGACCCCAGTTCTCCATAGCTCCCGCACTGAAATCAGGCACGGCGACCATGTCCATCTTTGGCAGAGGGAAATCACTGTCAAAGGCCTTCTCGTAAAAGGCTAGAGTCTTGGCAGCAAGCTCCAATGAGAAACGGCCGTGCTCAATATCCTGGTCGGGGGTGGCGTACACACGGATGGGAACCCGGAAGTTCTTTGTCTCGATGTAGTTGAGATTTCCGACAATGAAGGCAACAAGATAGGTGGACATGAGGGGCGAAGTGGTGAATTTCACAGCCTTCTTCGCACCACCCTGGACCTCGGTCTCGGTATCAACATCCATATTGCTCAAACAGGTCATGCTCTTATCTGCGACCAAAGTCACGGTGAACTTGGCCTTGAGAGCAGGCTCGTCGAAACAAGGGAAGGCCCGACGAGCATCAGTGGGCTCCATCTGAGAAGACGCAATGTACTTAGTCTCGCCATTCTCCTTGTATGATGATCGGTAGAATCCGGCCATGTTATCATTGAGGATACCAGTGAAGGTGAGCTTCAACTGGGCATTTGACCCCGCAGCGAGGACCTGGCCGAACTTGATGGTTGCGGTCTGGTCATCCTTCTTGAAGGAGATTTCAGGCTTGGAGTCTACCACCGAGCCCTGAGATGAAACAACTGCGCTGTGGATTTCGATCTCGTTGGAATTGAGGGAAATGAAATCGGTGTCTTCGGCCACATCGAGGCTAGATATAGATGTTAGTGATTGATAGATAACTATACACATATGCATAAATGACATACTCAATAATGACTGTTCCCTCGTATGTGAACTTCTCAAAGTCGGGCTCCAGTGTCAAATCATAATGCTGAGGCTTGACGTTTGTAGGTAGGACCTCACGGCCCTGAACGTTGGTTGACCCGGAGGTCTCGCGGCGTGAGCTACACATTCTGCGGTAGGAACAGTATCGTTTAGAGGTTTGTGATAGCGGAGAAGGAGAGCGGCGTTGAGTGATTGATCTAGGCACCGAAGCTTGAGGAGAGCGCGCGGAAACAAAGAGGGGGAGGGGAGATCTGGCGGAAAGAAGCGGTGGCTTTGCTTGCTGCAGAAGCACACGCGTAGAGAAACGGCGCATCAGCTCCACGAACCCGAATACCGGGAGAAAAAAGAAAGGAAAAAGAGGAAAGGAAATAAAAGAGATATTAGTATTAAATAATTAAATAGAACCAAATGCGAGATCAATTGAACCACGGACTCGACAACGGTCAAAAAGGAAAACATGAGATCAGAGTCCGGCAGATGCGAAGGCGGTGAATGTCGGTGGATCTTCCGCTTTTCATCTTTTTTTTTTCTTCTTCTTCTTCTTTTCTTTTCTTCAACACGCAAGTTCACCCAGTGGATGTCTAAATTCTATATGACAGACAACTGATTGGAAATGGCTTTTATGCTGTTCTTTTGCAAGACAATATACCAGCAAGTTTGAGGGGCTCATGACAGTTTCAATCGATTCTCTTGGGTGGGCTACCATAGAAGACTGGAACATACAGCACCGCGGTTCATAGCTCTGATGTCATAGGATGACAGGACAGTTGGTAATGAGGTCCAAAATATTGAATTGTTGCTTTCCGCTATTATCTATTACCTATTACTAGTAGAGTCTGGTAGGGATTTCTCCCCAAGTCACCATGACAAAATCTATCTTCCGAGTACAAGTAATCCGATTTTATATTACACCCATTATCTCTAAGAGTGCACTGCCTCAGCCTGTGGCAGTTTCGTAAAAACACTGCGAGACCATCCATCGGCATCCACGACCGACTCCTTGACGAGCACATACCCACCAAATCGAGGCAACAACACTGCCCAAACAACGTAGTAGATTCCTCCTGCTGCGAAAAGCCCAAGGGCTACCACACAGTGCAGGTAGTATGGTAGCTGTTCATACACATTCTGGCCATCGCTGGGCGGCACATATGGCGCAATTGCGAGGTACAGATTCGACAGCATGAAGAAAATGGTGACGGGTAGCGTGGCATGGACTGCGGGCTTCCAGTTCGGGTAGTTTTTCTCTTTTGTGAGGTAGATGTGAACGAGGCCAGCGGCAACGAAGAAGTTCACAATGGAAAGGGGGTAAGAGATAAGGCTGGGAGAATTTGTCAGTAACGATCTTGCAAGTGTCTTTGGAAATCACATACTTGACGAGGAAGTTGTATGCATCACCGGGAGGGGGTGCGAGCATGATAATGACCGAGACAAGGTAGTGCTCAAGCAGACCAGCCGCTGGCGAGTGGAAGGGCCAATTGCTGGCCCAGATCTTGGAGAAGGGCAAGACACCTTCACGGCCGAGCTCTTGAACAACTATGTCAAGATCATATTAGTAAATTGTTCAAATGTGCGAGTAGGGAGAATACATACTTCGTCCTTGTGAGAAGATGACGGATAACACATTGCCAAATGCAGAGAGAGCCACGAAGACCGACATGACTCTTTCAGCCTGCTTGCCAAACATGTTTCTGAAGAACACGGCGGCCACAATGCTGCCAGACGAGAGCATCTCTTCTTTCGATACAGCGGCGAAATAGGCGATGTTGACAAACATATACAAAATTCCAACAGATATAATAGCAACGGGGGCCGCAATCTTCAAGGTGCGGGCTGGGTTCTTCGTCTCGCTCAGGGCCTAAAATGTAATTAGCTTGTGATCAATAGATGCAACTCATATGTGCATGTCCTTACATAGTTGGCATTGGAATAGCCAATGAAGGACCAAATAACATTGTACAACGCCATGACAATTCCGTATCCGCTTCCCTTGGTGCCTTCGAAGGCATTGGTGAAGTTATGCGGCGTCTCAGCCTTAGTGTGGCCACCAAGAGCCACCCAGCCAGAAACAATGATGAACACGACGATAATCAACTTGATAATACCAAGCGCATTCTGAAGACGAATACCCCATTTCAGGGCAACGGAGTGGATAAGAAAGGCAGCAGTGAGACAAGCCATGCCAACTCCACGCTGATTCCATCGTCCGACCTCAATTTCTGCTGCGTTGAGGATATATTGGCCGAAGACAACGCTGTTACTGGCTGCCCATCCGAGTAATACGGCATAGGCGGCAAACATGGCAGTGGCCAGGAACTTGGGCTTTTTGTAAACGTATTCGAGGTAGTTCTTCTCTCCTCCATTTCTATACAACGTCAGATCAATCAGGCACGTCTTCCATATAATGCTTTTGTGGTTTTGAATGACATGCCTTGGAATTGCAGTACCCCATTCTAGATATACCGCTGTTCCAGCCAGAGCAATGATAGTGCCGGCAACCCACATGAACAGGGAGAGACCGACACTACCGGTCAATGTAAGGATAGTACTCGGTGTGGCAAAGATACCCGTACCAATAACACGGTTAAAAATTAGGAGGGCAGCACTGAAAACTCCAATCTGACGACGGCTCTCGGGCGTTGCCTCGAAGACATTTCCTTCATCTGAAAACGAAGTTAGAAATGTCACTCAGCCATCACTCAATCCTCAATTCTCATAAGTAAAAACATACACAATCCCGAGATACCATCCGCTCGGCGGATGCCATCATCTCCCGCTTGTTTTGTATCAAATACTGGCGACTTATTAGAAGCCTCAACAACAGGATCAACCCGTTCAGCCATTATGTTAGTTATACTGATCGAGTCACTGTCCACACGTGGAACTGATCGACGAGTATTTGTATTCAGCTGAGCTTTCGTAAGGCAAATTTCATACGGCTAGCAACGGCGCAAAAAAATGAGGTGCTGGCACTAAATGTGATGCCATAGGTCCTTGCGGCTGGGCACTGTCTTATACTACCTTGGAAATCAAATTGCAAGACCGGTATCACCAGATGGAGGCAAAGGTCCCACCAGATTTTGTGGGTTTTTCCCGCAGAACCCGGCCCACATGTCTGGAAGAATTCCAGAAGCCTTGGACAAGGCAACGGGCTACCATCGCACCATCGCCTAGTCGGGCCCAATATGATCTCTAACGTTACATTCCATAAGAGTTGGCAGTCCAATTGGTTTTCTTGGAAAGGGAATAAACAGCACATGATTCATGTCGTCTGCGTCAACCATCATGGCGCAATATAAAAAAAGGAAAGAAAAGCCTCGGAGACTGGCCATGCCGTGTCCAGTGGGCTGCCGAGAACCCATATATGTTGGGTCCGGGCCGTGGTAAAAACTACGGTGAACATGGTGAACATGGTTCATGTAAATCTATTATTCTGTTGGTTATTTGTTTCAAAAGGCGATATGTTGAAACGGTTTCATAGAGCACACAAAGTTGAGTCGATTCGGGTACTCTAGCACGTGTCGGGTAAATTGTCACAATATCATGATTGAGGGAATATACGATGCCTAGAAAAAGCCAAGAGGCAAAAGCCCAGGACTTTAAATGAAAAAAGAAGAAATTGTGAAACTATGACACATAGTCAAGCACGCCATCTTTAGGGTTATTTGCGTTTGTAGATCGTTGCCAAGCTTAGCCTATTATAACACTTTGTGGAGCACATCTGATACAACCCATTGAATGGACCTACATACCAGATAACCTCTGCCACTTCTTGGCCTTCCCTTTCCGTTCTAGTGCTCAGACCTTGCCGCTTTTTGCTCACTGAGTAGATCTGAGCACGACCCTGAGTGCCCTGATCCGCTTACTGAGCATTACATAAGCAAACTGACCTGCTCACTGAGCATGCTCTGATTGTCAGCTGAGCGCTCTGATCCGCTTACTGATCATGATCTAAGCGCCCTGATTCGCTCACTAAGCCTAAGCTGAGCCTAGGGGTGAGCGGCCTGAGTAAGCTATATTAATAAAATGTAACACGCTAGTCCTATCACGTATAACCCTCCTCTTTTAGATGGCCCTATCGTCTATTAAAAAAACCCTAGTATGATTAATATGATTATCAATCTAGATAAACTAAATGTAGTCTAATACGCTATAATAGAGTTTGCTACTTAGCTACCTAATTAGTATTACTATTCTATACTCGATACTCCTAGGAATACTTTATCTACTTAGTCCTATGATTTCCTAATTAGGCTTTAGAGGACTACTAGAGCTAGGGATACTAGATTAGTCTACTTAAAGATCCTTAATATATCTTAGTATAGAGGTTGATAGAGAAAGATTATTAAAATATAGAGATAGGGAACTATCTATCTGCTAATAAGTATATATATTATAACAGGCCAGTGCCCGGTCAATATCACGTGCGCGTATATAACCTTCCTCGCATCCCCTTTTATTTACATTCGACCCCGCCAGCTCCCACTTCTCTCCTTAAGCTTTTAGATAACTATAAACGGCTTAGTTAGTTTAAATCAAGACTAGCTATATCCCTTTATATTCTAAAAGTTTCCTCTTCTATAAAAGATCTAGAAGAGTATAGCCGAATAGGCCTATATATAATAACAAAAAGTCCTAAAAGTATTAGGTATAATAATAAAAAGCCCTAAAAGTATTAGGTATATTAATAAAAAGCCCTAGAAGGACTAGGTATAATAAGAAATAATATAATAGAGAATATAGAAATATCTAGCCTACCTATATAGGCCTAGCTAATAATATAATAGATAGTATAAGCCGCTACTAATTAAGAAGAAAGTATATAAATATAAAAAAAGAGGATCTAATAGCTTAAAAAGCTAATCTAGATAAATATACCTATATAGCTAATACTAATAGTAGATATAATATATAAAATATATAACTAGAGCCTAAAAGCTAATAAAGGCCTTAACTAAAACCTAGTTAGTATAAACCTAACTTAATACCCTTATATATAACTATCTAACCCTTTAACCTTTAAAAGAATTAGAATAGAATAGCCTATATTCTAAATATTAATTAAAAATAAACTATTACTTAATATAGATACTTTTAAAGATAAATAAATATATCTATTATATATTTACTCCTAATTAGAAAGAAATATAAATAAGAATATAGTAGCTTTTATATAATATTAATAAATAGATAGAAATATAAATAATTTAATCTAATATTTTAAAAATATCTATAAAGACCTAAATATTAAGAAATAAGCTACCTAATACTTATAAGAGATATAATAAGGTTTAAAATAATCTTTTATTATATTCTTATCTATATTTAAGAAAGAATTTATAGACTTAAAAGTAATAAATTAGCTAAAAGATATAAAAATATCTATATTAATAAGATTATTAAATCTAACTACTTATATAACTTTATTATATAAAGATACTCTTAATAACTTTATAGATCTTATACTACTATTATATTATATTAATACTAATCTTAATTTACTCTCTTTAAAGTTAAAATATATAATATATAGATATAAAAGGAAGATAACCTATCTTAAGTTACTAATATCTAATTATATAAATTAGACCTTAATACCTAATATTATAGTTATTTTTATATAGATATAAAAAGAAGATTAATAGTTTATAAGAAAATAAGTAAAATAAGTTAGAAAAGAGGAATTAAAGTATTAGTATTATAAAGGAAGATATTATTATTATAGATATAATAGATATAATATAAGATCTTACCCTTTTAAATTAATAAGAAAGTTAAGTCTTAAAAGCTTCTATTAATACCTATATATAGCTATAATAATAATAGAAAAAGACTTTTTAAATAAATAATAGCCTTAATACTATTATAAATAAAAGGAAAGAACCTAAGTTATAAGAGTAGAGGTATTTATAAAAGCGCTTATAAAGGAGAGTAACTATTTAGACTAAAAGAATATATATAAGTACTTAGAAAAAGAGTAGCTCTTATCTAAAGTTATAAATAAGAGTTAAATAGAGCTAAGAAGTTTTTAAAATAAGAGAATAAACCCTTTTATATTAATTTACTAATTAATAGAATTTAATTTTTAAAAGTACTTATTAATTTAAGATATTTATATTATACTATAATAAGTAATTCCTTTATAATAACCCTTAGCCTCTTATATATCTTAATACCTCTTTAAATACTAGATAGTATTACTAGAGATTAAAGAAAGATTAATTTTATTACTTATTTTAATATAAATATATATAAATACTTCTAAAAAGATATCTATATATATATTATCCTAAAGTAGATAGATTAAATAATCCTTAAGAATATATAGTTAATTAATATAGATAGGTAATATATAATATAAAAAGGATATTTTAATATCTTTATAAAAATAGATAAATATATATAGTACTAAAATAAAGTAAATACTATAATAAGCCTTTAAGGTATAAAGCCTTTATAAGTTTAAAGACTCTTAACTAAGGATTTCTAAGAAATATATATAATTAGACTTATAAAGAGCTTTTAGATTAGAAAAATAACCTTAGTAGATATAAAGAAAGTATTATAAAAGAAGAAATATACTAATTTATATATATAGCTCTTAAAATAGTATTAGCTATAATTAAAAATATTTAATATAAAATATATAGAATAATTATTAGATTATTAATTAAGAGTAGATTATTATATTCTCTTATAAAAAGATAGTTCTAATAAAGAAGCCTTACCTTTATATAATCCTTTTTATAATATAAACTAAGAAGAACTTTTTATTTTATAAAAAATACTTATAGATTTACTTAGATAGAATTTTATTTATATTAATAAATCTCTAATTATAATATTAATATTATTAATTAAGAAGCTAGGTAAAGAAATATATTTCTATATAAATTATTATAATCTAAATAAAATAATAACTAGTTAAAGATTATTACTTACTACCTTTAATTAAAAAAACCTTATAAAATATATTATAAATATAGTAGTTTATAAAGCTAGATATAATTATAATATTTTATAAGATCTAGATTAAACCTAAAGAAGAATAGAAAACTATATTTTAAATAAGATATAAGTTATTTAAATAGCTTATAACCTTATTTAATTTTATAAAAATATCTATAACTTTTTAATAGTATATTAATTAAGTATTTTATAAATACCTTAATAACTTTATTTTTATATATATAAATAATATTATTATCTATTTAAATAGATTAATTAAAGACTATTATTAGAAAGTAACTAAAGTCTTATAAAAGTTATAAAAGATAGGCTTATAATATAATATTAATAAATTAGAATTTAAAAAGAAAATAGTTAAGTACTTAAGGTTTATTATTTATATAGATATAGGTATCTATATAGATCTAGTAAAGGTTAAAGTAATATATATATAAGAATTACTAAAAATAGCTAAAGATATATAAAGCTTTTTAAGATTTATAAACTTTTATTAGATCTTTATCCTATATTTTATAAACTTAGTAGCTTTATTAATATAACTAATATATAAAAAAATAGACTTTTATTAAGATATAATTTATTATAAAGCCTTTATAGACTTAAAGGAATTTTTTATTAATATATCTATCTTAGTATATTTTAAAGAAGGATATAAAACTATAATAGAAACTAATATCTTTAAATAGGCTATTAAAAGTATACTATTATAAATATAAAATAATAGAATATTATACCTATATATATACCTTTCTTAAAAGCTATTATTAATAGAAGTAAATTATAAGATATATAATAAAGAGCTCTTTATAATTATATATAGTCTAAAAGAGTAGTATTTAGAACTAAAAATAATCTTTAAGTTTAAAATTATTACTAACTATAAGAATCTATAATACTTTAAAAAAGTATAAGACCTAAGTAAATACTAGATATAATAGATAGATATATTAATAGAATTTAACTTTAAGATCTAATACTAACTTAAGAAGCTAGTTATATATCTAGATACTTTTTTATAAAAAGAATAAGATCTTTTATAAGATAAGAGTAATAAATAAATAATAAATTAATTCTAATATATCTTTAAAAAGGTTAAGATAAAAACTAGATAGTTATAAATAGATATAAAGGCCTTTATAAGCTTTAAGATACCTATTAATATATTTAAAGATAAAGAGCTATAGTTACTTTAGATTAAAGCTTAAAAGATAGATATAAGTTATTAGGTAATCTTATAAACTCTATAAAAAAGGGAATATAAACTCTTAAATAGAATCTAAGTTAAAATAAACCTTATAGAATACTACTTTAATATATAAGGTCTCTTTTACTTCTAAAATTAGATATAAATCTTAAATAATAAGCCTTTATAGATATATATTATCTAAAATATATATAATTTATATATTATAAGATATCTAAAATATAATATTATATATATAATCTTTTTATAATATTTCTTTTAGTTAAGAGTAGCTAAGGATATATAATAGTTCTTATAAAATTATATAATTTATAGATAAAATATAATATAATATAATATTAAGTATAGATTATTAAAGCTATTATTAGTTTTATAATAGATTTAAGTAGAAATTTTTATTAATTTTATTATAAACCTCTTTATAAATAGCTCCTAAAAGGTTATAAACTATCTTATTATTATAAATTAACTTATAAAGAGTATTATTTTTATTATTATAGATTCTATTATAAGTAATACTATAGCTTAGATATTTATAGACTATTTCTATATATATTATAGGCTCCTATTTATAATTATAAGTAATTATAGCCCTTAATTTATAAATAGTTTTTAGAAAGAAATATATAAAAGACTAAAAATCTAATAATAACTATTAATAACCTTTTACCTTTAAATAAATAATATAATAGAATAAATAAATTAGGAGATAGAATAGATTTTATAAGCCTTTATAGCTTACTTATAAGAGGATTAGTCCTATCTCTTTTTAATTATAGCTATTATAATTAATAATTAAGAGGTATTATTAACTAATTTAATACTATTCTTTTTTATATATAGATATTATATTAACTTAATTAGATTAGAAGATAATAGAAACCTCTAAGGTTATAAAAATAATCTTAAATAAATAAGTATAGACTTTATAGAATACTTTTATAAAGCTTTTAACTAGATATAAGTAATAATAGCTATTACTTAAGATAAATAGTAAGAATAAGTAAACTATATATATTAAACTATATTAGTCTATTATATAAAAGATAAAGTATAATTATACCTATAAAATATTATATCCTTATAACTATTAAAGAAACTAAACTAATTATATAAAAGGTATACTATTATTAATATTCTATCCTTATATATAATAAAGCTAAGTATCTTATATAAGATTTACCCTATCTTTTATATAGACCTAATATAACTTATAATATTAGATCCCCTCCCTTCTTAGGTTATAGATAATACCTAATCTCTACTAATTATTATTAATAATAAATTAGAATAAGAAGTTAAAAAGATCCTAGCTATATATATATAAAGAATTAAAAGAAGTTATTAATAAGAAGTATTAGTAAAATAGGCTAGTTTTATAGAATAAATATAGTAAAGGTTAGATAAATTAGAGGATTATACTATATTAGATATATTTAAGGAATATTATAGGAGTATATAAATAAATAATAGCCCTTAAGGAATATACCCCTATATATATATAGGTACCCTCTATATATAAATAGATACTACTAGGAGGAGGGGGGTATTATAATAGGCTAGTACCTAGTTAATATCATATATACGTACGTGACCTTCCTCGCATCCCCTTTTATTTACATTCGACCCCGCTAGCTCCCACTTCTCTCCTTAAGCTTTTAGATAACTGCAAACGGCTTAGTTAGTTTGAATCAAGACTAGCTACGTCCCTTCACAGCTATAACTTAAATACTTAATAATATAGCTCTAATTAATATATTTTATGTAATTATCAGATCTTCTATGTTTGTTATATTTGTCGGCCCTCGAAATGTTTCGAGGGCAGCCCTCTGAGGGCATATAAAAGACGTGCCCGACCCGCGGCAGGAGGATCCTGCCCTCCGCCCGCAAAAGGCGGGTCTGTGGGCGGCCCTCGGAGGGCGGCTCGCGGGCGGTTATGAGGTCTACTTTTAAGAGCTATCAATTCCTTTATTTTGAAGCCTTCTATTTGCCTTAATTCTCTTATTTCTATACTCTTTTTCAAATAGCCTCTATTTTATAGATTAGATGACTGATGGTAAACAACGAAAGATCCAAAAGAAGGGTCGCTTAGACAATAAGCGACTATATATATGATATATATAATAGAATCTGAGAAAGATCATATGAAATCCGACTGAGTTCTGGTAGGACTCTATAGAGAGTTGGGGGGAGCCTCCCAGGAAACGTATAATATAATCACCACTGAACGTAATCTTAATTAACTCTTACTTAGGACGCTTCGCTCATAAGAGAGTTGTTTCAAATATTCTTCAAACCTCAATTATTACTCACTATAAATTCTAGTATATTCCTGAAGAGATAAGTTCGAATACATAAGCGCATAAGCATTAGCTATCTCTCTATCGGAATATTCATCTTGCCTCCAGAGTCGTAAACCTTGCTCTTTCCCTTTTCGGGTGAGAGATGGCAACTAATACCGTCCCAAAAGTAAGCTTCCTCGGCAGCACGACAATATTTATGAGACAAAAAGCTAACTACTACTTTTCAAGTTACAGATCAAATATCCAGTCACAACCAAACCCATAATTATCTTAACCAAGAGTGAGGTATATCCCTATCCACGACCGCAATATAAAGGCAAGGCTGATAAGGAAAAGTGACCAAGAATACGCCCGCGAGAGCATCATACAAGAAGCCCAGATAATCATGGACATGGCTGCCGCGCCGATCAATCTCCACCTAGGAGACATACCACACTCCTCTGACCTGGCGATGCTCCACGCTCTGGAGACCCGAATGATAGGACTTTTGGAAGAAGCAGTTGAGCTGGCCATCGAAGCGCAGATGGATAAATGGACCGAGTGTCGGATTTTCGAGACCATCGGCTGAAAGAGATATTCGAAGAAGTAGTGCAGGGACCTCTTGAAATACGGGGAATTTGACATTACTTCCTACTGAGATCATTCTCCCAAGGGCCCCTTTTACAATGCAGAACATTATACTGGTCGTAATGCGATTTCATTATCTACCTTTTCTTTCATCGGTAAAGTCTTGAGATTCGCCTTGCAGGTCAACCTTGTTTACATTTATACTACTACCAAGCTCATTGGCTCCTTGAGTGCCTCATGGTAGATCATATTGCATTTCAGGTTTCTTTGTTTCACGCCTTAGTTTCACTTCGCTGTTACAGTTACAGTTAGATGCGCTCTCTCCTAGTTATCACAATTTCACCCTCCTCGCGAGAACGCTCTTTCTGTCGCAGTCCTGGGGTAATTGTTACTCTACAGCCCCAACATGTGGTTTGCGATCCGCCTTACTTCTCTCTGTCCAGAAGTCAAGCCCTCCTCATCTTCATCTAGCCTTAACAGGCCCATGGCCCTCAGACCACCGTCCGTCAAGATATTTTCCTTCCTAGCCCCGTGGTCTTCGTGTTCATACTCGCGCTCCATGGTACCGTGGCCGCGCATGAAATCCACAGGGACATCTCCCTCGAGAAACGCGTCCCGTGTAGCGAGAAGAGAGTCGACATTGGCTGGAGTCAGAGGGTTGGAGGCATTATAAAACACACTCGAATCATTTTTGCCTTGGTTCATTTGGTCAACGCCGTGGACCAAGTCACAATGCCAGAAAACGTAATCTCCGGGTCGAACAGGGGGAATTCCAACAACTGCTCGCTCAAGGTCGAGGTGTGGGTGGTGTTCCGTCGTAGGAAAGAATTGCGTGTTTCTAGGTGTAGCCCCGGGAAATGTCGGCAAGGAGTCGTCGAATTCACCAGTGTGGAAAAAAGGGCGTAACATGATATATGCGACTGAGGCTTTCAAGTGAGGCAGGAGGCGAAGAGTACCCTCCCCAGTGTTGGTGTGCGAGAGAGATAACCATCCTTGAAGACTGCGCCAGGTGGAGCAAGAAATTCCGGTTTGATAAAGATCAGTGTTCGCGTTGACTCGAAAGTCTGCAGCCCACCCATCCCAATTCTCCCAATTGCCTTGAAATATGGCGTCAAAATTCTGTCGGTTGATTTCGTCTTCCCATCTCTCGATTGCACCGCTGTCAAGGTGAAGGGCCAGTGGAAACTGCTCGGGGTCATCACTAGGGTATCGGATGCGCATTCGGTCCGGATATACCACCTGGCTATCAAAGTCGATCGGAATCGAAGGATCATTGGAATGCCAAAGACGCGAAACGCTTCTCATAGCTTGCAAGATATCCGGGTGGGAGCGCATCTGCACTTGTGCTGGAGTCCAGAAGACATTCCAAGCTGCCGGCTTCTTAGCTGGATGGCCCCCAACGCCAGGGTGGCGAGAGACGTAGTCTTTCAGCGATGCCTCCCAAGCCGTGGCCTGTTGCTCACTAACAACATTCCGAAGAATAACACACCCTCTCTCACGAACTAGATCTGCAAACGCGTCGGGTAGAAGACCCCCTGCTTTTTTGAATATGTCTTAGAAATAATTCTTCTTCTCGCACCTGAAGAGACATACCATTTTCTTTAACTTCGTTGAAATTTATTTCTGGCACTAATGAAGACCCAAACTTCTCAATGTGTGCGACTACTAACTCCAGTGAGTTGAGAAGTCTACCATAAGACTCAATGACCTTTCGCTTGTTTTCAGGTTTGATGAGCGATTTTTTGAGTTCGCAAAATCTCTCTTCTAGAAGAGGAGCACTGGTATATTGTTGTCAGTATAAATGAATAGAAATTGTTTCTCCGACATACTTAGTTTGAATGTTAACCTGCTCCATGAGGACTGTACTGATTGCGATCTTGGTCGTGGAAAACTTCTCTCAGACAGGTCGCGGACGGTGTGGCTTGGGTATCAATAAATGCCTACAGAGTCTTATTATATTATTATTATACTGCAGCTCTCGGAGCCTCGGCACGTTTAGGGTAAAAAATTAGACTTGATAGATCGTCGTCTATCTTACGTCAGATATCATTTTCGCGACAGCGGGCATCCGTACGCCGCAAGTAAAGTGGGCCAGTCTTGCCTATCGCTAAATTGAGGTACCGTCGGCAAATTCAAGGGATAACAGTACAATATAGGTTTGGCGTATCTAGAGTATGTATCCCGAGTGGGTATCGTGGAGCGGAAGTAATCAATAGCGGGGAAGATAAGCTACGTATGAACCGTTTAAAAATCAAGTGGCCATTGGTTTTGGTTAAAATGTACTTTAGCGGATGTGAGAATATGTATAGTGCCTCTGGTTTGAAGCGATTGGCGCATGGAAAAAAGCTTTAACGTTGACTTTTGCATTATCAATTAGTTTATTCCAAGACAAATGGCTCTATCTCCTTATGCCCGATTAGTTGCCAATACGTGATACGACTCTGGTGTGATCTCCGTTGGGAAAAGGTAAAGGAAAGGGCTTTATGAGCTCGCCGAAAGTTCTCTCCTTCCTTAGAAAGTGCTTCGAACCGTTCCAATACCCAATCTCTATGGAGCATGTCATCAGTCTCGAGGGCAACAATGAACAATGGCCATGCGATTTTACATAAAGCTTGATTTCCTTCGTCGGCACAGGCCTGATAAGCCAGCGTAATGATTTCGCGCAAGGCCAGTCTTTGCTTATCGTTGAGCGCCGTAGATGCGCCAAAGACACAGTACAGCAGGAGAACCACCGCATGATACAATGGAACCACCATCCTCAGATTGAGCACGTATCTCCTCTGAGATCCATCTTTCGGTAAATTCAACGAGCTCGCAGTAGTAAGGAGCTCCCTGTATCTCAGACCAACATCTTCAACAGTACGAAAAAATTTCTCAAAGTCAAATTCCGCACCATTTCGAGAATAAGGAGCAATACTTGTCAATTTGGACAGCATATAGCGAAGTTGACCAGATTCTGCCTGAAGACAGAAGATCTGACTGCATTGAAGATCCTCGATGAGTTCACTTTGGGGATAATGAGAGTCCCATACATCGCGATATACCATGGTGGAATATCTTTGAATAATTGTAAAACCGCTTAGGCGTGAGGAAGTCTCATCTTGGGTCAGATCAAACATAGATTCTCCAAGCAGATGATTAAAAGTTGCATTGATCCCATTCAGAGCGGCGCTCCCGTCCACGATAGCAATCCACAGTAGCAACTGGCTGCTGAGTCGAGTGATGCCAAAATACTTCTCATCAGCACGGGTTCCTGGGCCTCCACCTCCTGACCTAGCATGTTCGGGGTAGGATTGGTGAATCATGGCGCAAAGAGTTTTGAGCCGCCCTTGTAATAGTAGAGCGGCACCGCGTAGATGAACAGATAGATCAGCGCCGATCCCATCACCATGCGCGACTTCGTAAGAGATCATCAACCAGAGCGTAGCAAGGATGAAATCCAGATCAGTGACCTGGGTGAGGTTTTGGATCGCAGAAGCGAGAAGCTGAAGTGCGGTACCGTAATGCGCCGCAGCTTCGGACTTTCGAAGTTGCATATTGAGGGAAAGGGAAGGGTCGTAACATAACTTCAGGGAGCCCAAGGCGCATACCATATGGAGGACCATGGGGCTTTTTGCTGCCAGTGTCCATATCAAGGCTGGACCACTGTATTCTGGAACTTTGGTATCGACTCGTAGTGCCATAACAAAGCGCACATAGTGTATTGCCTCGTGGTCATATTCTGACAGGAGTATGGAGTGAGGAGGCTGAAAAGACGTCTCTGCATATATTGGCGAGGAATGGAGTGGCCGTGTTTCAAATTGGCGGGGCGGGAGAAGCAGCGTCTCTTCAGTGGATATTTCCAAGCACGAGGCTATTTGAACCGATGATAAATCGTGGGGCCGAGATGAATGCGAAGAAGTGGGACTGGTTGCAAGGTCGAGCATTGGCCCTTGACCATTGGCAGCGGAAACAGGATTGGGATGGCAAATCCGACTCCGACGGGTGTACTTCTTACGCGGACGAGCCGTATAATCACATTGCCTGTTCAGGCGAATACATTTCTGGCAGCTCGGCCATTCCTCATCGCATTTGACTTTCTTATCTCGACATGTCTGACATCCACGACGCGACCGCGACCTTCGAGCTGCAGATACAGAATGTTCTTCCTGGTCTCTCGTAGAGGAAATGAACGATGTCATGGTTGACATACAGTTGCTAGATGCTATGGAGAGCGACACGACGAAATAAGCGATGTGAAAGAAAATAGGGTGGATTTCGGATATTTAGAAGTGGACCTCAGGAGGATATGTAATTAAATTGCCCATTACGTTACCTTACGTTATGGTACTAGTGCAAAGCTTATCACAGGAGATTTCTAAACTGCACAAAGCTCATATGTATTCAACATGAATGAGATCAAGAGGAAGTATCTGAGTTGACAAGACGTTACGGAAACAGCCGGTCGGATAATCTGGGATTGACCATGAACGTTTGTCAAATGTAAGTGAATTGCTCACAATGCTTTATCTAAAGTGTCTTTTTTGTCTTTTGTCCCTACCCGTGGCCTCCACGGAGTAAACCTTTCCGCTTTGCGTTCCCTTGCTGCATACTATCAGCAAGATATGGCAAACCCAACTGCCTCAATCGATAATCCAGAAACATGGCACTTGTTTGCTCAATTGGATCGAGAGTTTCTGCAGGTAAATGCTTTCATTATCTACAATTAAGGTTTCTTTTTCTAAATCTGAAAATAGCTGGTTGATGGCGGCACAGGATCAAGTCTCGAAAATGAGGAGATGATTCCATGCCTAGCAGAGTTCCGTTCGAGGCGCAACCGGGTGTTTCGAGAAAAAGCAGACAATCTGCTTGAAGAAACCAATGGGGAGGTTACGGAAAAAGAAATTTTCATTCCGGTGCGAGATGGCAGCACGGTTCGGGCACTTGTGTATCGCAGCAAGTGTGGCGCGACAAAGAACATGCCTCTTTTTGTTATTGTCCATGGAGGCGGATTTCGTATCGGCAACGCTGAGCTGGAGTCTAAAGCATGTGTTGGTGCCACGCAGAGATATGGATGCGTTTCGGTCAGCTTGGAGCACCGTTTGTCGCCTGAGTTCAAATTCCCTGTTGCTTTTGAGGACTGCTGGGACGCGTTACTCTGGGTAAGCAGACCACCTGACATAAAGTAACCCGATTTACTGATGACTGCTGAAAACACAGCTCGCTAAAAATGCAAACACGATTGGTGCAGACCCATTGGAGGGTTTTGTATTTGGCGGAACATCTTCCGGGGCTCATATTGCGAACGCACTCGTACATCGCGCCCGTGATGAGAATCTCCAGCCTCCAATCACTGGGGTATATCTGAATGCGGCGCCTACTTTGGCTCCACAAGCTATGACGGATGAGTATCGTGATCTTTCGAAGAGCCGAGAGGCTCTCAAGGACGGCCATACACTTAACTCGAAAAGTATTGAATTGTATGATCATGAGATTCAGCCGGATTTCTCGTCTCCCTTGTGGAGTCCTCTGCTGTGGCCGACAGGACATGGTGATTTGCCGCCAACCTTTTTCCAGATTTGCGGTGCTGATCTGCTGAGGGATGATTCTTTAATCTACGAGAGAGAAATGAGGGTTAGGAATGGTCTCAAGACCAAGGCAATTGTCTATCAAGGCTTACCCCATGTATTTTGGTACACACATCCATCCCTTTCTGCGAGCAAAAGATTTGAGGAGGACACAATATTGGGGGTGGGGTGGCTTTTTGGTGATAAATAGAGAATTCAGAAAGATTTGAATAGTACATAATTATCGTAATGTAGTAATGTACTCGGTTTGTTTCTGCAGTTTTAATAAGAAATCTAAGAAAAGGGAGAGAGAGTCCCAGTCCAAGTGAGAGAAACCTATGTACCCATGAAACTCGTAATGCGAAGGAGAATGCCAATGCTGATAAGCAATGAATACAAAATGAATCCGTGGATGCACCGTCTACATTTTACGTCCCTGTCTTCTGTTCTCACACACAATAAGAACACCTGCCCATGAAGCTTCTAGCCAATTCCGACTTAACAAGATCAAACCCCTTTCTCCAACATTCCCGCTTTAGTATAGATTGCTATTAAGTGTTGTTTATTGCATTCCCCTATACGAGTAGCGTATATTCCAGTAACGAGTCAAGGTTCTCTCCTCCCTTCATTGTCGGACTCTTCTTAATCAATATATTGAAACCGAGCATGTACGCGGTCTGATTCATAGATTTGACAACATAGCGAGTTGGCAGCGGCTTTAACACATTACCATCATTATTAAATAGATTATTCGGCCTAACTGCTCCATACAACTACTCAAATACATGCTCTCTCAATTTATTGTACGTCTCACATTAGAGTAAAACGTGCCTCGGTGTCTAGGAGCCTTCCCCGTATGTTCCTGGAAGGAATACCATACATATACCGCGATATTGTAACTTGAAATACATAGGGTAGATAACTGGGGAAATAGCCGACCGTTTACTCCCACTATCGAATTAGGCGACACCGTTCCGACGCCAGTCCGAATCCGGATATCATGGTTGATAACGACCACGCGCCCTTGCCCCTGTATCTTTTTTTCCCCCAGACTTCACAGATAAGATACCGGGCCTATCAGCCTCTAGCGATTTGCACCTCGAGACAATCAGATATCAAAGCCACAGAAATGATATTAGTATATAATTATCACTCAATTTCCTCCCTTTTATTGTATTAAACGGCATTTCAAATCTTTTGAACTCGACAGCCTTGATCTCAAAATCGCCGCAATGGCTTCTCCCAAAAATATGAATATCTTCAGGGAAATGACTGCTCAGACATTCATGACAGCCTTGTTCTCTTCTGTGAGTTTCCCTACCTGTCATGTAATCATGCACTAACCTCAAATCTCGATTTAGCTCGGTGGTATTGGTTTTGGCATTGGTAAGTCTCAGGGGAGAACTTCTCTGTCCATGAAATCTGCATGTTAACTCATCATCCGCATAGATTATGGCTACTGGTCTGGAATGCTAGATATAGCCCAATTTCTCAAAGACTTCGGCGTCTATGACGGCAAGACAGACTCCTACTACCTCCCCTCGAGCTGGCAATCCGCAGGCAGTGGCCCCCCCGTTGCTGGTCTCGCAATTGGTGCTTTGATTTCCGGCCTAGTTGGCAAACACCTTGGTCGCATCAAGACTTTTCGCTTTGCCTCGATAATCTCTGCCGTGGGGGTCATTATCCAATCTACTGCCATACATTCTTACTGGCAGATTATGGTCGGGCGTCTCATCAATACATTGGCACTCGGAATCCTCGCAAATGCAATTCCTGCCTACTTAGCTGAGATTTCACCACTCTCTATCCGGGGAACATTGATCAATTGCTACCAATTCTCTGTCTCTGTTGGGGCTATCCTCGTCACGGCCATGAATTGGGGCATGTACCAAAGACCAGACCAGTGGGCATACCGCTTGGTCTTCATTATTCAAATATTTGTTCCACTGACGTATATAAGTGGATCTTTCTTTATTCCAGAAAGTCCTCGCTGGTTGGTGGGACAAGGACGGTATGCAGAGGCAAAAATGGAGTTAGAGGTTTTACGCAAAACGACCTCGGATGAACTTCTTGGGCGAGAGATCGAATTGATTATTGCTGCCGAGGAGGAGAACAAAGCTCAGTTCGGCAGTTCTTGGTCAGAATGTTTCCGGTATGTTGCTTCTTTGCCGCTTGCGAGCCACGCAAAAGAATTGACAAAATGTACAGAGGAACCAACCTGCGACGAACCCTGATTGCAACTGGCGTGCAGTGCTTGCAACAGGCGCAGGGATCTTCATTTATGGGTACCTATTCGGTCTTGTTTATGAAGTCCATCGGCGTTGACGACGTTTACAAAATTTCAATCCTGACATCATTAGTAATGACGGTTGCGTCTGGATGTGGCTTTTATGTTCCAGATAGATTTGGTCGGCGCTGGGTCTTGATTGGTGCAGCCCTTGTTCTCGGAATAAGCATGTTTACTATGTCTGGAGTCAAAGACGCTGGCTTGGCAGGAAACAAAACGGCTAGGAATACAGCCTTAGCCTTTGTTTTCATTTGGCAATTCGCTATGTCAATTGGTTGGAGCAGCTGGTATGTTGGACCTGCGTGATCACTCGACCGTTGCATTGCTTTTGGGGCCCCAACTGACGTGACTGTAGTGTGTGGATCATCACAGCCGAAGTCCCAACCCTTCAGTTACGTGAGAAGACCATGACCATTGCTTGCTTTATTGGGTTCTGTGTATCAGTTCTCGTAACCTTCGTCAGTCCATTTATTCAAGATCCCGGGTATGGCAACCTAGGAGGAAAGATTGGTTACCTTTACGGTTCTTTTTCGTTTGCTGCGGCACTCTGGACCTTCCTTTTCTGTCCTGAAACAGGGTTCCGCAGCCTAGAAGAAGTTGACGAGCTGTTTAAGAACCGCGTGTCGGTATGGGACTTCCATAAGTATCGGACAACTGGCTTTGGGGCCGAGATAGCCGAAGTTGAGCACGCTTCTCAACCCAAAGAGGCTTTGCTGGACAAACCGGATGTTGAAAAGTGAATGATTACTATTTTTAACCGCCTATCGCTCTCAAGGTATCAACAAGAGCTGTCTGATATCAGGTGAATTAAGTCACCTTTGTCAATTACTCCATTGTTTTCTATAGCTTCTATACTCTAGTTTACGGGGGACTAAATCGAACTTGAATAATGACTATAAGGTCCTGATTGGCCGGTATTAACTTAGCCAGTCGGGGATTTTGGGTGTCGTCCGGCCTTCATTTGAATCCAAATCTTATTCCATCAGCTATTGTTCCTTACATTGCTCGTGCTTCCCGATCGTCCACGTAGTATTATATATTGCGGCTAACAAGAATAATAACCAAACAGCCTAAGAAGGCTTTATAGCGAGGTTGTAAGGTGATCTATATATAGATAGATCTTTAATAGAACGATTCCGGGCTTATAACTAATAGAAATCTGTCTATATTCAAATATATAGGTAAAATAGTATATATAAATAACTCTAAAATGACATAACCCGTAATTTCAACAATCTGTGCGGTAACGATGACTAACTGTAATATACACTTTTGTATGGTAAACCGAGTACTCGAAATCACCCGACTTCGTGTATAATATCTGGTTTCTACCATGTATTCGGACTTGGTATTCGACAGTATATAACATAGTTCTCCAGGCCTGCCCGCCTATTCCTTCATTCCTCCATTCCTTCATACATTGTCGTCTTGAAAGCCCATTCCCATCGGACTCCCAATTCACAATGCCGTTCGTCCAAGCAAATGACCACCGTCTCTACTATGCCGACTCCCACCCCGCCGGCCCTCCAACCCCAACCGGCCTAACCTTTATCTTCATTTGCAATATATTAGGGCCCCAATGGGTTACCCAATGGGTTGGGTTGGGTTGGGTTGGGTCCGGGTTAGAATGGGTTGTGCCGAAGTCTATTAGCGAGTAAGCTCTTAATTTAAGCTACCTTTTTTAAGGCTTTCTTTTTAATATTTAACTTATACTATATAGTCTAGGTTTCGATTCCCTTTAAGCTACTTTTAGTTAACTTTATACTCTACTATCTAAGGTTCTATAGAGGATAGAAATAAAAATATATTAATATCCTATTTAGCAATTAGCTATATATAATCTTAATATTATAGTACTCTTACCTAGACTTCCGCAAAGCTCGAAAAGCCCGAAACCCGACCC